ACAAGTGAGTCACTCTTGAAGCCTGAAAGAGGGTCAAGAATCAGTTGCTAAATGTTGTAGTTAGTCACCAAACCTCTGGTAAGAGAAGAAAAGCTACAGGGGTGTTTGGAGGAGCAGCTTGTTCCAGGCTTCTCTCCAGTCTGAGGGCTCTGGTTAAAGACTGCCCTTGGGGATGTGGCGCAGTTTGCCACAGGCTGGAGTCACAGTCATGGCACCGGCACAGTCCAAGCCTGACTGCATGCTGTAAAACACCATTGTCTGAGGTCGTTTCTTGCACACAAACACACACACACACAAAAAAAAAAAAAAAAAGAGAGAGAGAGAGAGAGAGAGAGAGAGAGAGAGTCTTTCAGCTCTGCGCAGATGGACCAGGAGCAGCACCAGAGTGAGAGGCCACCTCTCCGTCATCACAGAATCCAACAGAATCCAAAAGGAAAGGGGATAAAGGCAGGAAAGGGCATCTATCCCTCTTCTGACAACAGTGTTGTAATTACTCTGATGACTCGGGAGTGACCAAGTAATTGCAGTACTGATGGGATGCTGCCAGCTGATGTCCACCACACTGACACCGTGTCCAGAGAGCAGCACCACACTTAACCATGGGATAAGTGTGCATGCCAGGAGCAAACCTTTAGGCAGAGAACCTCACAGCCTACACCAAAAAAAAAATAATAAAATAAAATAAAAAAAAATATGATAAGACTAAGGTTAAATGTGTATTTTTTCTCTCTTAATTGTGTCCTCAGTTTGAGCAAAACTTGAAAGCTTTATAAGACGAAGACTTCAGCATACAGTGAATTTCTGAGCAGAGTTATTACCTCTGGTGCCTGGAGCAAAAGTGCCCCTTGGGGCATTTGACAGGATATAATGTCTGACTTGATGATGGAAGCAAAGAAGTCTTCTCCATGGCAGATTTAGTCTCTTGAATTTACTGATAATGCACTCTCCTCCAATAAATCATAATTCCACTTCACCCACTTAGATGTCTATTCTGTATGGTGCTGACATGCAACAAAATGTAAACCTCCCATAAAAGTAAAAGAAAATGTAAATTATAATTCAATAAACAAAGAGAGATTTCAGAACTGGGAAAAGGCCTTGGATTATATTTAAAAGGAGCTCTCTGAAACAAAATTGCAGACAGAGAAAGATGTGCAGAGGTGCCCAGGCAGGGCGTGCACAGCTGACCTCAGTTAGTCTGCAGCAGGACTTTGCTGTGGGCATGCACCCCAGTAATTCCTCCTTGTCTTTCCCCTTGCAGCCCAACAAACTCACCATGGGGAACTCAGTTCAGTGCAAGGTCACTCCCACACCTCCTGACAGTACCTATTGAAATATCATTCTGGCCTTCAGGAGAACAAATTCTCTGCCCAAGCATAAGGTAGGTGTGATGGGGCCAGACAGAGGTGTCAGCATCCAAACTGGTCCTTCCCATCAAGGGGAGAGGAACAGGATGGGACTTGTTCACTGCTGCAGTGGACATTTAAATTGGGGTGGATGAATTGCTCCTAAAGGCACTCCTTTGTCTCACTTGGCTACAGTGGGAGCCTGGGGAACAGCACTGAGGTGGAGGTGACAGCAAACATCCGAGGAGCTGAACGCCGATGGCTCCCCAGTGCTCAGTGCATGGCTCCTGGAGCTGGTAGCTAGGGCAAGCAGTACAGATTAAAGGAAACCAGGCTGCTTTAATTCATCCCACGGTCTCGGCTCTCCTTAAATCACCAATCTGTACAGTCAACCACAGCCTGCCTGCACATTCATATAAATCAAGCCTGAACAAAATATGGACAGAAGAGCTGAGTTTCATGCACTAATTCAAGAAGCAGCCTGGATGAGAGAATGTGAAATTAAAATGCATCCTTCCCCCAGCTCCCTGTTTCACCCCTCTGTCCCATTCCAGCAGTAAACTCCAGCACAGCCAGCATCCCATAACCAGGGGCAAGGTGTGATGGGTGGACCCAGGCAGCACAGCCAAAATGCAGAAATGTTCCCATCGCCTCCAGGCTCTTGATTTGTGTGGGTGGGGAGCTGTCGTGTGAGACAGATGAGAGCTTCATGATGAGGGCCAGTTCTGTTGCGAGGGTCAGTGCTATTTCGATGGCTGCAAGATGCTCTAATTACAGTGCTGGGGTGGCTGGAGGCTGCCAGGTGAGGAACGGGAATATAGAGTCCTCCTGTGGCACAGGAACCGTGTGGTAATACTGCTTATTTCTTTGTTCTCAGTTGCTTAACCGACTCAGGGACAAAACCTTGAGGAAGGAAAAGCGACTTTAAGCTTATAATTGAGCCCCAGGAATGCTGCATGTATATATAATTAGACACTTAGGAAAAAGTCAAGGAGCCTCGTGTTTATTACGCTGGCTCCGTCTCCCGTGTTTTTGGCACAGGGGTTTTTCAGCTGAGCTCCAGGCAGTTGCCTGAGCTGTTAAATATCCTTCACCAGGATAAACAGCCGAGGAAGCCCTGCAGCTCACTCGAGCTCAGTGCCATTGGTGTCTCTTCCAGAGGGCTCAGGCAAGTACATGACTTTATATATACTGAGCTATTTTTCTCTGCTACCTGCTCCATGCTCTGCTTTGCCTCACTGCAAAACCACAGCGGTGTTGCGCTTTGGTGTTACGGGTTCTCTAGCAGCTTTTCCCTTGGGTTTTATGCTCTGATTTCTCCTGGTGTGCTGTCTCGGAACAGCCAAGAGAAGCCTTTGGCAGTAGCTTCTCAGAGCTGTCCCTTGCCCCGGGGTCCCTGCGGGTTGTGGGGTGATCAGTCAGACAGCCCCAGCGCTCAGCTCTGCTGCTGGCTTCTGCAGGGGCCTCGGGCAAGTTGCTTTGCTGCCTGCTGCCTCAGTGTCCCCTGCTGAAAAAAAAAAAAAAAAGGCAGCACAGAGCCAGCTGAAACAGGGTGAAACACACTCAGGGACTTTGATGAAAACAACAGTCAGCCATGGGAAACAGATTCCTTGCTATCACTAATAATCCACCTCTCGGGAGTGCAGTTCCTCCCTTCCCTGCAGCAGCTTTCCCCATGCCTTGCTGCGCCAGGGTCTCCCAAATTACTCCAGAGATCCCCATGCCCTGTGACACACCTCCACCTCTCCTGTACTTCAGCAGCCTCTCCTCCAACTATCTTTTTCAGAAACTCAGAGGGGCACAGTGCCTTCTCTTTTCTTTTTTTTTTTTTTCCCCCAAGAAACTCCCCTTAGATACTTGCTGTAGGCTTAGGATCCCTCCCCTCCTTACCTGCAGCAGTCAGGGCACTGCTGCTGGGAGCCCTGTGAACACATCAAATGTCTGACAAATCAGTGATTTCCCTAGCTATTCCCACCTAGGGGACATGATGCTTGTTCTTCTTTTTTATTTTCCTTCTTTTTCTTTTTTTTTCTTTTTCTGTAGTTGTCCAAACAATCACACCATGCGTTGTGATGTTTTCTTTTTCTTTATTTATTTCTTTGTTTCTTTGCTTCTTTCTTTCTTTCTTTCTTTCTTTCTTTCTTTCTTTCTCTTTCTTTCTTTTCTTTCTTCTTTCTTTCTTTCTTCTCTCTTTCTTTCTTTCTTCTTCTTTTTTTTCTTTCTCTCTTCTTCTTTCTTCTTTCTCTCTTTCTCTTCTTTTTCTTTTTTTTTTTTTTTTTTTTTTTTTTTTCTTTTTTCTTTTTTTTTTCTTCCTTCTTCTTCCTTTCTTTCTTTCTTTCTTTCTTCTTCTTTCTTCCTTCTTTCTTTTCTTTCTTTCTCTTCTTTTCTTCTTTCTTTCTTTTTTTCTTCTCTTCTTTCTTCTTTCTCTTTCTTTCTTTCTTTCTTTCCTTTTCTTCTTTCTTTCTTCTTTTCTTTCTTTCTTTCTTTCTCTTCTTTCTTTTCTTTCTCTCTCCTCTCTTCTCTCTCCTTTCTTCTCCTCCTTCTCTTCTTCCTCTCTTTCTTCTTTCTCCTCCTTCCTCTTTCTTTCTTTCTTCTTATTTTCCTTCTTCCTTCCTTCCTTCTTCCTTCCTTCCTTCCTTCCTTCCTTCCTTCCTTCCTTCCTTCCTTCCTTCCTTCCTTCCTTCCTTCCTTCCTTCCTTCCTTCCCTCCTTCCTTCCTTTCTTCCTTCCTTCTGCTCTCTTTTTTTTTTCTTTTTTCTTTTTTCTTTTTTTTTTTTTTTTTAGTTAGAGTGATAAGAAGGAGCTGGGAATCGATATCTGGTGTAATGCTAGTGCACTGGAGAAGTATCAAGGACACTTTGGGATCTGTTTGTTGTACCACTACTCAAGATGGAATCAATAGCCTAAAATCAGAGACACTGAAAACAATATAGTGTAAATGCAGCTAAAATCAGATACACTGATACCCTTTAATTCTAGCCAAGACTGTGTTTAATCAAAACTAGGCTAAATTTATCCCAGATGTAACTCCAGCAACTGCAGTAAACATCAGAGCAGAAAGGAGTTGAGCCCCTTTTCTCTTCCTTACTGACAAACAATTTATGGAAGCTGCAAAACTGCTGATGCAAGCACAAGTACAAGAGGGCAGAAATGCACAGCAGTCCCCTCTCAGTGGTCACCATGGCTGCTGGGCTTCATTCCAGTCTATTTACAAATTATTAAACATATTGACCACAGCTTCATGTTTTGAAATCAGGAAGACAAAGAATCCATTTTTATTACTTTATTAACCTTTTTTATATTTAGCCGAGTAATAAAACTGCTCAACTGTGTGTAGAAATCTCGATTAAAATTTGCCCTAGCTCCAAGAGGCACACAGACAAATGCTCCAGTAGTTATCTAAGTTGGTTTCCTGGTAAAAGCTTTGCTCTGCTATCAGATTCTGTTGTGCAGTACATAGATCCCTACTTTACAGGCAGCACCATTTCAGGAGGTAGTTTGAAAGCTTTCGGGCTCTCCCAATGATTGCTTTGCTTTTCTTTCACAGCAATTACAGCCCCTTCATTTAATTTCAATGGAAACTTTAGTGTTTTAGACCTTGCCCATGCAGCTGAATGATCATCTCTGGATCTTATTTCCAGTCCTCAGGAGGACCGGTTTTGATGACCTAGTCTGATTACAGCATCTTTGACAGCTTTAAAGGAATTTGCTCGGGGGAAGACGACAGCTGCTGCTCTGATGAAGGATTTTTCTGAGCAGGCCTCCCAAGCAAGACGTGTCAGCATGAGATGCTGCCTACGCTTTTCATCATGACCAACAGGTATGTCTAAAAAAGGTTTTGTGTTCTTGCCAGCTTAGGCCAGTGTGGAGAAAGCCTCTATCGTAAAAACTCCTTCACCTGCTTTTGTCCAAACTCTGCAGCTTCTTGGCTTGCTTTTCCTTACATTTTATGTTCAGTCTCTCTGGAAGCTGAGGTCCAGACCTTTAGTCTTCTGTAAACTGGCATTGCTCCTTTGGTTTATAAAGTCTCTGGTGCAGGTACAGCCTCTTCACCAACATCTGTAACTCCTGTGTGGCCCTGGTCTTAAACAAGAGTAATGAAAATGAGCATATTATTTATGATCGATAATAACCACTATTAGGAGCAGCAATAAAGTTTATTTGCAGGCTTTTTTGAATAGAACCAGTACAAAGACAATATGGGAAGCTGCTCCTCTAAAGCCTGTTTTTTCATTAGTGTTGAGAATAACACAGGTAACAGTTCAGATCCCACCCCCCCCAAAAAAAATACACTTTGTACAGAAAGGAGGTGTGAGCCTCTCCCAGTGCATGGATCAGGAAAGCTCTATGTACCTTTCGTAGAGCCATTCCCAAACCCTGTAACTACCTTCCATTTTGCTCATGTAAAGTGCCTAGAGTGAATGTGCCATTATTTAGGTAGTTTTGCAATAGAAGATTTTGACAACTATCTGAAATGCATAGTTTTATATATGCATCCTGGAGCAGCTGCTTTACCTTTGGGGAGAGCAAATAAATCAATGAGTTCAGATACAAGAGGTTTAGTGAATCTTTTAGGTCGTACACACTCCTTGGGCCAGAGCTGCTACTGTATGGTCTGGTGGACAGAGCCAAGATTTGGGGAACTCATCCCCAAGGCATCACCATCCCTGATTTTGTGCAAAGAAACTCCCCTGTTAACAGGTGGCTCAAAGCACTGAGGGCTGCTTGGTACATGGGACCATTAGCTTCTTCTCTCCAGGGCCAGTCCATCTCTGCTAAACATTGCCTCACATTCAGCTCTGGGCTCACAAGTTTCAATGACATAAAACACCGGTGCCACCTGCTCTAATTCCTCTTTTTTTTTTTTTTTTTTTTCACCTCTCTATACTTCTTATTTAAGTTGCACTTCTCTAGAAAAAGGAGAAGCAGTGCTGTTTCTGTGCCTTGTGAGTGTTTGATTTCCACTTGGTGAATGCAAGGAGCTGAAGCTAAAGCAAGGAGCATCCTTTCAGAGATGGCAGGGTGTTTTTTGCTGCGCTTTGATCAGCCTGACACTTAGTAAGTAACTCAGTAAGAAGAGATATTCTCTTATTCTTGTCTCAGGGGTGCTTTTTGGATGTTCTTTAGCTGAGGGACACTTTGTGCATCCAAGAAAAACTTACAGGCTTCAAGAAAGCCTGTCTGTCTCAATTTGCTCACCTATGAGAAACAGGAGGGGCACCCAGCACGGGGCTCACCCATGCTCTCCAGGAACAACCAGGTCTGCAGCACTTGCTGCCACCATGGCAAGTGCCAGGTAAAGTCACTCAGCACATCCCAGATGAACCTAGGCCAGATGAAGAGTGGGCAGGCTTCAGGGCTTAGAAATGAGAACCAGGCATCCTTGTGCAGAGATTGCTGGATGTGAGGAAAATTCATTTAAAAGAAGGAAGTGTGAAGCAGACAGATACTTCCTTCACTCATGTACTGCAAGCAGAGTGTATTATACAGAAGATTATGCTGTGTGTCGGTGCATTGTGAATGCCAAAATGCTGGAAATTCACTAGTTGTAATATGCTAGTGATAGCAGACAAGCCAGTGGGAATGTGACAGATGAAATTACTTGGCTGCTTGGCAGAAGCCAGTAAAGCCAGAGCTCGAGAGAGCAGAGTGCCAACCTCACAGGCAGATTGTGCCTCTTGCATTAAAGTGACTTCAGTCAGAGGAAAATAAAATTTATTGCCCTAATCAGGCAAGAAACTTGATATCTGTGTTTTGGATTCAATGGTTCCTTGCCCCAGTCTTTGTGTTTCTCATCACTTCACTTAACCAAAGAGCAAATGTTATACACATGCACTAACAAGTTTCCATTCACTGCAATATCTTTGTAGGTGTGTAAGTGAAAAGGCAGCTTGACCCAAAGTGCCCTAACAGATAAGTTTTGCTTCTAATGGAGATTTATCAGTCCCACAGATGTGAGTAACAGAGATGAAAGCCTGCCTGGGTTCCACACGAAGAACTCTTAATTGGAAACAGCAGCACCCATGGTTGTACAGTGGGGCAAGATCAGATCTCCTCTAATGCTCTTTTAAGGCCGATATAAAGATTTGTAGGGCAAGTATGCCATTCAAATAGAAGGAAACTGCTCTGTAAAGAAGTCTTATACCATCCCTAACTAATATTTTGTTTTGTTTTGTTTTGGGATGTCAAATATGTCCATCATGGAAGCTGACACAATTTTCCAGCTCCAGCACTATTAATGCAGCAAGTGACAAAGCTTGCCAAATCCGGAAGCATCAGAAAAGTTATTTCAGTCCCATAGTCTGAAACTCAGGGCTGATGAGCTGGAGTCAGGAGAGCAGGAGAGGTCTTTTTCTGGAAAGGAGGAGTAGTGGCATCACCTTTCCATCATATTCACTTTAGAGCTAGAACGACCCTTTTGTGGTCCAAAAGGGGTCTAATTTTTTTTCCAGCTCTCCAATACACAAGGAGCCCTAAGTAGAGAGCATAAGGGCACTTCAGCCTCCATACTTGTCCTAGAAATGCTTGCTGCACAAGGTGTAATCCATGCATGAGAAAATGCAAGGCACTGAGCAGGTTTTGCTTGCATTAGGGAAAATAGCTATGTTGTCAAAATCATGATAGAACAAGAGCTCAGTTTCAGTCCTTCTCCCTTCAGACACCAGTAATTCACAATCTCTGTAACTGTCCTGTGAAGCTGATTCCTTTCCTTTGCATTTGCCTAGATTTAAAAGAAAAGGCATTGTAATGTCCACTCCTTCATTGAGGTGCCTGTTTGAAAGGCTTATACATTTGAGATTATGAAAAATATGCTGATGAAAATAAAATGCTCCATATTAAAAATAAAAATAAAAATAAATGAAAAAGATGGTATGTTGAAAAAGAGGTGGTTCTTAGCAACATACTAATTTAAGGTGAGAGGCTTTCTGTTCCTATCCCAGACCAAATTTCTGATAAGAATTAAGTAGAGAAAAGTAGAAAAACAGAGAGGGCTCTAACTATTAACAAGGCAGATAGTAACAGGCTGGTAAAGCTACTAGCAGGGGCATCTTCTCATAAAATCATCAAATGGCTTGTGTTGGCAGGGACCTTAAAGATCATCCAGATACAACCCCCCTGCCATGGGCAGGGACACCTCCCACTAGAACAGGTTGCTCAAAGTCCTTTATTTTAAGGATCTGATCCAAAACTGTCAGGGACCAAGGCTGGACCCAGTTCCACACTCTCCAGTCCAAGCCTGTCCTGTTCTTAGCCACACTTCTGTGAGACACCAACTGACCTGGCACAAGCAGGTCCCCCCCAAGACTCCCTCAGACATGCTGAAGGATGCTCTGCTTGGAACAAAAACACAATTGAAATCTTCAGCTTACTTGTGCAAAAAATAGCTGGCTTTCAGCCTGACATATATTCTAATGAGAACAAGTGTTCTTTGATCTACTGTCTGAATTTTTCCTTGTTTAGTTTCCTTGTCCCAGCTTAAATTGAGATCCAAGTGAATATAGGTTCCAGAAGCACTTGGCCAGGTTTGGAAATTGTACCAATTATTCTTTGTTAAAACCGTTTGTTTTACTCTGAAAACACCATCCTCCAGGGTGTGGAGAGGTGGAGGAAAGAGTCTCACATGCTAATTACAAGAAATTAAATCCAAAACAAATATCAGCTTTAATAGACTTTAATATATTTAACATTACTGTAAAGTGTCTGCCAACGACAGCAGGATTTGACACTTGCTTTTTATATTCATCATGCAGTATCACCATCCAAGCTCCTTCAAATTCATGCATATTTCACTCATTTGGGCTTTTCTCATGCTTCGATCCATTATTCTCTCCAGTTTTCTGTTCTCCTTTCATGTCACTAATCTAATCTAATCCCCTTCCAAGGTGACACCACAAATGGAGCTCAAGAGCATTTACATCAGGGCTTTCAAATCATCTTATGCAGTGATGCCTGTGTCTAGGTGCTTTACGATTCCCTTGGCTTCTTCCCTTCCCACTGCTGTAAGTCCCACTCGCTGCCCTTCTTTGGACCAGTCTGACATTAACAGCTTCCAGGTTTCTAAAATCCATTCAGAACAGACCATGGGCCTGCAGAAATCAACGGGAGCCTTTTGATATCTCTTGGATTTAGACAAGGCCGCTAATCCCCATTTTAGGCTATATCCTGCAATTATCCTAGTCTGATTTCTCTGCTGGTCAAAACTCGCATGAGTAAATGAGGACTCATTACAGAAAGCCCCAGTCAACACAACAGAGAGCACAAAGTCATTGCTGCTGAAATAAAGCTACTGAAGATAATTCTGCTTTTGCTGTTTCTGAGGGTTTTTCTTTTCATTATATATATATTTATTTACTTATAATTTTTTGGCCCCTCTTTTTATTTCACGCCAGCCTCAGCCATCCACCTGCTGGCTGTGGGTTCATGCTTCTCAGCCATCTCCTGGCTGGTGGCAGCCCTGCCATCAGCAACCCCCCGGTTGCTTTAAGGAGAGGTTTCAGTTCCACTCCTTTTTGTTGCTAAAATACGATGAACGTGTGATAAAAGCTGACTCAGAATGACCTCACTCACTTCAGCTCTGTCTGTCTCCCACATTCGGCATCAACAGGGCTGACTGATATGGAAACAGTGAGCTAACAGCAGTTATTAGCATTCGGTTACTTGGTAACTCTTATTCAATCAATACATGTTTTACATTTTAGATCCCAGTGGCAGGATGAACAGAACGAAGGGGAAAACCTCAGGTGGAATAAACCTAATGGTTTATGGGATATTTCCAAAGTAAAAATGCATGTTGAATCACAAATAATGGCTTGGCTGTAATCTCAGGAGTCTAATTATGAAATGGATGTGGAATCATTCTGTAATTATTTAGAAAGTTCGTTTCAGCAGCACAGAAATTCTCTCTTTTTGCTATATATCATCACAAGTACATTGTGGTTGTTTGTAACATCTACCCAGAAAGACCCATGAATAAGAGAGGCAATTTTAAGAGATGGAGACAGATCCATGCCTTTATAAATCAATGGATTCATGCCAGGGATGAATTAAGACCACGTTCCTCAACAGAGTTAAATCATTTCTAGCCAGTTACAGCAGAGCAGAAATCAGTCTGCCCTGCACTTGGGACCTTCTCACCACAATGCAAAATCTTGCTATGCATTTTGCATGGTGCTTGTGTATTTGCCCTGGAGAAGAGCTCAGCTGAAAAACCAGAGCAAGCTCCTGCACGCTGTAGATTTGGAACTGGTGCTGCAACCCCAGGTAGATGATCAGCACCCCAAGGTACCTGCTACATCCACAAACACAGCCAGGGTGCTGGCTTCAGAAGTAAATTTTGTTGTGTTGGATCAGACAGCTACATGTGATGTGACTGTGACAAATCTAATTTTGGCAAAGAGTGGCAATCCAGGCCTACAGTTCCTGGATAAGTGGCCCCAGGTCTGCCTACCTGCTTCAAAGGGGAATTTACAGCTATAGGTCACTAGGAAAACTGCAGGGTAGAAATATATAAATGCAGAAGAGAATGTCTCTGTGGGAGAATAACCTTGTGGTTCCTTCATATAGCACCACAAGAACTGGAGATGCTGTGCTTTGGGCTGAACAAACTGCCCTTCCTGGGGGACAAACACACTGGGGTACACGGGACTCTGAGCATCACAAGAATTCGGGATTATATGAAAAGATAAACTGATTGTTATCAGTGCACCTGGCTACACACATATGACCATTCATTGCTCTGTCTCCATTGTGCTTCATGGCTGATTTTTTTCCAGTTCCTCAGAAACACCCCATTTTGGAGTGACCATCAGAAGACAGGCTAACCAAGACCCTTCAGTCATGGAATGCATATGGAAATGCACAGTCCAAAGGACTGATTTTTGTCTTGAGGTTGGAATTTATGCAGTGCTTTCCTTTCTGGAAGGTCTGAGAAGTAGAAACAGTGCCGTATGACACCTCATGGGTGTTCCGCACATTTCAGCAGTAAATCTGCTTCTCCAGAGGCAGAAAAAAGAAGAAGGAACACAGCTAATGATGCTCTGTGGGGCAATTCACCTTTTTATTTCCTGATGTATTCCCTGACTGGTGGAAAATCACTCTTGGCAAACACAAAACTTACCTTGCTGCCAAAAGGTGCATCTCTAAATTATTAATCAAGAGCACACAGAACCACGAAAGGTGGAATATTGAACAAAGGCTCAATTGACACTCTGGAAGTTGAAGAAGATATGGAAGACTTCCTTCTAATTTATTTATTCCTTTTCTGTTCTGTTATCCTGATATGCTGCTTCCAGTTACCATTGCACCCTGCACTGTATGGTATTACGTGATTTTGTTTTCAGATTGTTGGAGATAAAGTTACTTCATTATTAATATATATGCACTGTGCATATCCATAAATATTGAATATATATGTGTGTGTAAACCTACTAGAAGTGTTAATAGTTAAGATAAACTAAGTCCATTATCACAATGAGTGACTATTTCTATGACCCTATTTGCAATAAAACCAGATTCAATGATATGAGAAAATTGCTAGGTTTCAAAATAATTGAACCAGGCCAGACGAATCCCCACAAAGGCATCATTTACAAAGTACTTTGCTTGTCTAAAATATTTATTCCTGCAGAAGGAAATGGAAAAAGAGTTCATATGGTTACACAGCTATCCTCTGAGCGTAAAATTGTTTTATCATGTTATGTTTATTTCCTAGACATCTTCCATTGGGGTGTTGCATGAAAATACTGGCTGTGCAGTTAGTTCCTTTGTGTGGACTGTTCGTACTTATTCACTGGGAAGTCAATCATGTTTTGTTCAGGCTTGTTTTATTTTTCTGCTGAGCAAACAGTTAAGCAACCCTTTTCTTGTAAAAACTTATTTGCATATACAATGTGAGCCATTCAAAGTCGGCACGACAGATATTTGACATGTCTTTGCTTTTTCTCTCATGTAACACTGGAAATAGTAGAGTTTGTCCTCAAAAAGGGGGATTTGCTTATTAAGACTGCAGTATATTGGTCACGCTTAAGGACTCCATCAGTAGTTACAGATATTTTCAGTTTGTCTCGTATTAAAAGCCTGGATAGATTTTTACTATTAAATGGTCACAGCAAAATGCTTCCAAGCAATCTACAGACAAATAATTTCTCCCAGCAATTATCCACTGAATAAATCTGAATAATGAATATGTTCACAAAAGTCACTATGTATTTGTGAACAATTAGCAGAAAGAAATAGAGGTGACACTCCTCAGCTAAATAATTCATTTATGAATTCTTTGTCCAGCTTTGGTTCTGACATGTGTTGCGAGAAATGAGATCAAAGCCTAGATGAAAAATTACTTCAAAAAGGAGGGCAATGTTAAGGGAAATTCTTCCAGCTTCCAGAGCAGAAATTGTTCCAGTATTGTAACTATTATTTTTTTACCAGTGATTTCAGAAACCAGGAAAGTTATCTTCCCGGAATTCTTCACTTCATGCATGAAACTGTGCTTTATTCCTAATCTATATCCAATTTTAGGTGGTTAAATTGCAATCAAAAGCACTTAGCAGGAATGGATCCATCCCTGTTATGAGATTTGAACTCCTGACATCTTTATCCACTGGAACTTGAGTGCCCAGGTAACTACAAATTATTCAAGCATTTACAACTATCACTATCAATATAATTAACAGGTTGAGGAAAAAAAAAAAAAAAAAGCAAGAATGGTGCTATTAAATGATCATTCCTAACATTTAGATGGGAATCTTTCATTAAAAAATTTATAAGATGCCTAATATTTTTTCAATCAAATTAATAAAAAAAAAAATTATACTTGAGGGGAATCTCTGGAACTGAAAAGAGTTCTTACATTGAAAAGTACAAATGAGCCATTTAGAATTAAAAACAGACAAACAATCAAACAAAAACCAACAACTTTTCTTTTGGGGATTTAAAAGACAATCTCAAAAAAATCTGATTAATTAAAAAAAAAAAAAAGGCCTTTGTTTTCAATAAGATCAGATTCATTGAAAAAGATAAGAACAGGGTTTCTCATTCAGGTCTAAAAGATTTAAAAGATTGTGAGCTTTTTGCCTCTGTTTTCAGGAATAAGAGGCTACAAAAGACCTTTTTTATGTGACTTGATGTATGACGCTAGTAAAAATGAATGAGACTATTCATGTAGGGTAAGTGAGAGAGAGATGAATATTAGGCTTTGACTTCCCTCTTCCCACCTCCACCTGTATTTTTGGCCACAGTCGGCATATAAATTCCTTCTTATATTATTTAGTAGCAAGTGATTATCATGATGGGAGCAAGGAGGAACCAGATAAGCTGGAGGGTCACTGTTTGAAAGGTTTTGTCACCTCTCTGTCTAGGATCTACCATGAGCAAAGTTTTGAAAAATGACTTTTTCCCACCAAAATCTCAGCTTAGATATCCCAAAAATAACTGATGTGAAACACTTGCAGGACACACCAGAGAGGGGATTTTGAGAACGTTTTACAAGCCTTGCAGCTGTGAGCCGGTTGCAGCATGAGGAAAAGCCCTCCAACACACCAATGTACAGGAAAGAGAAGGTAAGGTGTTTTTCTCTGGGAGGCTTTTAGACACAGTGCATTCAGTGAAATGCCCCAGAACAGTAAAATGTGACACCCTCCATGCTGACACTGCTTTCAGTGATGAAAAGGGAAAGGGTTGAGAACAGCAGGTCTTCCAAGCATCGAAGACCCATGCAGAGACTGGGTCTTGGTGCCAGTGGCCACATCTTGCAACCCTTGCTTCACAGGGTAGGTGAAAAATGATGGCCTGGTCTAAGCATGCACAGCTGTAACAGAGAACAACACTGGGGTCTTCCCTGCCACTTTGCAGTGAAGCCCCTTGTGAAACGAGCAATGCTAGGGTCCCACCTTGAGACACTCCATATAACTTGGAAAATTACACAAAACTGGATTTTTTTTAGACAGTTCACAGCAAATAAATAGCTCCAAGAAAAGAACAACAAAAAAAAATCCTCAAGCTTGTGCTTGTAGAGATGATAAACCACCATATTTCAGCAGTCATGGCAGGTATTTCTGGCTGGAAATTGTATATTTAATGATGACCAGCCTTCAGCATTTGACAAGGGGCTGTTAAAGCCTGTTGAACAGTAAATCACCTCTCTTCTCTATCAATAATCTTATTATAATATCTGTAGAAATGTCTAATGTTCAAATCTCACTTTATTACTATAATAATGGATCTAATTTGTAAGACATATAAAGGGAGGCCATAACTGTGCTGGAGGGAGATATATGTGAACCCACTATATCTATAACATTTCCTCATGGCTTTTGTCCACATAATTCTGAACAAGAAAAGGATTAAAAGTAATGCCACTAGCAAGTTTTTTGAGATCAGGAACGTTTTCAGGAAAGGAGACCAACGTCATCGTGGAAATGCAGTAATCATTATGGAAAAAACAGCCTCGACTTTACATTTACGCATATAAATATGTAGGTGTTTATCTGTGATTTGCTCCATTCAGCCTCTCTCCAGTTGCCAGGAAAGCCCTGCTTTCCAGCTGCACAACCAGTATTATCACTGTGTGCTATTTTTGGCTGCCGAGTACATTTCAAGCCACGTCATCCTTCCCAAGCCAACACTGGCATGAAGGGCGGAAACTCATCTTTCCACTCCTCTGTCATCTGCTGCTGCTCCCATCTGCTCACTGGCACTGCCTACTCAGTCCCTGCTGCAGAGGGGTCTCCAGACGATTTTCCCTGGTCCTCCCCATTTCTTTGAGTGAGTGGCTTTCCAACCAAAGCTTTGTGTGGGAGGCTTCATGTTGGCATCCAGAGTACATGTCCCAAATATGTCCAGACCCACCTTCTGATCATAGTGCAGAGGAGCTCCTGGTAAGTAATCTCTTGATGGGTGATAGTGTCCTTGTGCCCAATGCCCAGAATTTTTCACAAGTGTCTTGTTTTTAATGTCATATTCTTTTGAAACTAACAGTTCGTTAGGTTTCCAGTTCTTGTCATACCTGTTAACACTGGGTCTCTGTCTGAGAATGTACCTTTTTTTTTTTTTTTTTTTTTTTTTTTCCCTGACACTGTACAGCTTTGATTTCCATAGGTTGTTAAAGCCTAGTAAATATTATAAATTTCACTTCCTTGTTAAGGTTTTCCTTGGCTTGGTGCTACCCCACCACTTAGCTGTTTAATGTTTTTCTGTTCTGATGTGACATTGCTGTTGGGTGTTTGGAAAATCTCATATGGACAAAAGCATCTCATGAAGTTATGAATCTCTTCAAATATAAGGTTTGGTTTCCTTGGATGTGCTACTGGAGCAGCCCTCTCAGACAAAGCTGTAACCACCACTAGTCTGAGCTGGGCATCTTGTGCTGTGCCTCCCCGAAGCTGCTTCCTTTTTCCACAAAATAATTAAATATTCATTATGCCAGAAAGTATGTGTGTGTGTGTGTGTGTGTGTGCGCGCGCGTATATAAGGCTACAGCAGAGTGATTAGGGCACTCACCTGGTAGACAAGAGACCCTGTTCCCAGTGACTGCTCCAATGAATATTTAAGTATTTCACATTAAGTATTCATTGGAGCAAGGATAGGAGCAGACCTCTTCCATCCCCAAGGGAACACCCAAACACTGGGCTGCGAAGCCATTCTTTCATTCTTTCTTTCTTTGTCCCAATGAATATTTAATTATTCCAGGCCAAACAAGATGGCTTCAGTGACAGCAACTGAGATTCCCTCAGTCCCACACGTGCACCATAGCTCTGATGATGAAGGTGTGCATATAGGAGGCGTGGGTTCACAGTCCCTTGGATTTAGAAAGAAGTTGACTCTAGATCTCCCATACATTGCATGGGTCTTCCAGATTCTGATCTTCTGGATAAAATACACAGACCTCCACCATTCTGCCTCTGGTCATGAGACAGAGGTGGTATTGATGTTTGTATGACCCCAAGCTCAGAGAAAACATCCTTACCAGTGATACATGATGCTAAAATCTGGCTTAAAAATCCCTCAGGAGAAGGTATCAAAGCTGAAAACGTTCCTCACTCCCCTGCAGTTCCTGCTGTCTGTGTTATGTGTTTTCCTGTTTATTGGGTTGGCTGCTGTGGATGCTTTTTTTAAACACATAATTGTCTTGTGAATTGTGTAGGAAGCCTAGGCATCCACCGGAAAGCCATGCCAGTAGGCTTGGTCTGCCCAGCAATGTCACTCCTAAATCCCTCTCTGGATCCAGCACATAGTGGTGTCTCTTCCAAGGCCAATGAGATCAACATGTGTTTGGTAAAGGGCATATACAATGTGTGATGCACAGGGAAACCCATGGACCCTCCCTGGGCAGTCAGCCAGCCCCAAACTGTAGGTAATGGGCTTTAATCTTGCCTCTGAAGCCCAGATAGGGTGTGGATGAAGTGCTGAGTGTGGGGAAAGCATCCAAAGAGACAAGGTGTAGGGCAAGGCTATCTGACTAGATAAATGTAACGGACATTGAGGAGTAGAAGGTTAAAACAGGAAGAAAAACACGGAGAAAGGGCTCTGCCATCCAAAAATGTCTGATTTTTCCCCACTGAGTGGGGAAAAGGCACATGAGGAGAAAGAGAAGGAAGAGGTGTAGAGAAGACAACTTTGATCTTAAAGTAAAAATAAAACGTGGAGAATTTCTGCCACCCACTTAGGTCTTTGAAAAGTAGAAAATTTGCCATCTGCTGCTCCACTTTCTGAGGACAATGTGTGTCTCTGAACTGAGATGCTTTGGATTTGCTTTGAGGGAGGAGGTTAACTTTGGGAACATTCCTACACAGAAGAGGGTTTTATTACTATTATTGCAGCCCTGTTTTTTTGTCATTTGGCAGAATCCACAGCAATCTGATTTCATTATCAAAGACCGAGTGTGGCTTCCAAGGAAAAAACAGAGCAACAACATAATTGTGATACCAAATGACAAACAATTGCTTCTCATACCCATCAAGATGTCCAATCATGAGATTGTTGCATAGCTACAGTTGTTTAAATGGCAATATCACATCCAAAACAGAGCAGCCTAGCTCAGAACACTTCAAAGGTGCTTCCAATAATGTGAATCTTATCTTTCATATCATATTTGTGTTCTACCCCAGTCTGTTGAGCAGCTATCTTCAATAACTGTTCACTCCAATTTAGAGAAATCCTTTCTGAAACCTTGCTGTCTCTTTATCCAAGCTTTTTTTTTTTTTTTTTTTCCTGAAAAGACAGCTTTAGTGTACTGAAGATCTATGACAATGATATTTATATTGGCTTGGTGTACGTATTACAGCGATATGACTGTAAATGTCACATCAGATGTGTTTCATATCATGTCCTTCGAGGGATGTGGTAAAAATATAGCCACAAAAACTCAAAGCTTCACCTAGATTCATTACTCTGGTTTGAATGGCCATGTGTTGTTTTTTGATCAACTCTTTAGACAGATGACAGTAGCTGTCCTCCTTCAATATTGAGGAAAAGGCCACCAGTGGACCAAGCTGTGGGGGAAAAACGGAAAGCAGAGAGAAGGGTTCGGTTTCGTGAGCCAGAAGAAGTTATTGAACATGGTATGCTCAAGCTATTAGGCTTTCTGGCATGGCCTTTCTAGTTCTTAACCTTCCCCCTGTCTGTCCTCATCAGCCTCCCCCTCTGTTAGTATTATCTGTCTTTCTGAGCTCAGCATGGAGCAGGGGACAGACACCTTCCGTGCTGTGCTCTGCAGAAGTGCACCTGGTCCATTCCCCTGCCTGCCCAGGTTAGAGCAGCCTCAGGCTGTTCTCATGGCGAACTTGTGGGACCATTGTAGACTGTGGGTTTGGCTAAGCACCAGGTCTACACCAGAACACTGCTTTCATTCATAGGGGATCTCAAACAAACCAAATTTAAATGTGCTTACTTCAGTCTGGGTAACTAGGATGTAATACTGGGGAGGGAGCTCACCTTCTGGTGTTTCTGAGCAGCCTGCATGGCAAGGGGCAGAACAGTAAAGATCTGAGCCTGAATGGCCCACTGGGATTAAAAGCAGCCAGGGCATAATGTTTTCTGCAAATAAGAGTGCCCAAGGAACAACACAGCTAACATGACTTCTGGTCTTTCACTCATGAACCAAAATAACAGCTTGTGGGTAGGACAGCTGGGAGTGACCTGAAGCTGAGGTCTAACACAAGGATTCAGTTTGCACTTCTGCACATGCTAAATACAGATCATAACCAAATAATTGTTTTATTCTGGCTTTCACTAACAGACCCGACTAAGACAAATTGTGTTTATTGGTAGGAAGCTAAAATTGTATGGTTTTGATACATCTGCCAGCAAAAACACAGGTGACAGAAATTTCCATGTCAGCCACCTGTCTGGACTGCTACTCAGCTTCTAAAAACAAGGCTTGGCATCCACTGCTGTGTCTGTATACAGACTTCTTGTTGGTTTTGCAGTGTGCTGCTTCTGGTGCCTAGGAGTTAAAAACTGTTTCTTGATAAGGTTGTTGGCACAGCCTGGGCTTTCCTATACAAACTGAACACATGGGAAGAATCAGTGAGTCAGCCCTTAACTCTTCAAAGCTCTTTTGACTGCCCAGGAGCAGGATTGGGATGAGATGCAACACCTCTTTCAGCTCCCTGCCAGGGTCTGTGCCCCCAGATCAATGCTTGGCACCCCGCAGTCAGTCCAGCTTGGGATGGGGTTTTGGCACCCACCAGCTCTGACCTCAGCGCAGCTGTGCTCAAGCCACAGGAAGCTGCAGGGATAGGAAAGACTCTGACTCTTCCATGAGGACAGGAGAAATGTCCCAACTCATAACTTGATATTCTGTGTTACAAACAGACTGTGATTTAGATGATTTGCTGTTTGTCCATGCAACGTTATTAAAATAGAGACTGGTAGGATGAAAGGTGCTGGCACCAGTGGAATTTTTCCATGCTTCCGACTTTTCATCCTGGACTGCATCTGGGCCCCAGCCGCCAAGCAGAGGCAGTTCCAGGATGCTGTTGGATGAGAGTTGCATCTTGCAGTCGGGTTTGTTTTCTATATTTCATTCTTTTCTTAGCCTTCTGGTCTCTCTCATCTCTCTTCTAGAAATGATGCAGAGTAGGAAGAGGTGTTTTTTGTGTTTTTTTTGTTTTTTGTTGTTTTTTTTTTTTTGTTCTGCGGGGTGTGTGTGTTGTTTTTTTATTTTTGGGAGAGCTGACTTCTGGCCATCCTGCAACAGCAGCAATCTCTGCTTATGAAATTCCTCATACAATATTTTTTCTCATTTTCCTGAAGCGCACCTATATCTACATATTTGCATGGGGTGGATAGATCCTCATCTGGCATAAATGCATTCAGCCAAAAGCAGTGTAAGGAGTTGCCCAGTGTCTGCAGGGTGACGGGCAGTTTCAGAAATACCATCCAGTGCATGCTTTTCTTTTATCTTCAGCAAAGAGACACCCCCTTTCCAAGTGTGTAAGAATATTTTTATTCTGTTTTCTAGTTATTTCCTGCTGTGACTACGTAGTGGGTAAGTCAAAGTTTCACATTATAACTTTGAGGCATTCATGGAACTAACCTGAGTTTGCTTTGTGGTAGCGGGAATAAACTCTGCAAATAAAACCTCCAAAAATGAAGGTTGGCAGCTGTTGCTTTTTCTTTCTCAGCACATGAAGCACAGAGAGCTGATGAGGTCTGCTGCAGTATTTTAAACAAGACATCTAGCAAGACAAATAGTGGAAACAAAAATGAAATCCCTGAAGCTATTTTTAATTTAAATATAATTAATATATTTTATGGCAATGAAATAGGTACAGGTTTTTCACTAAGATATGCAGGGAAAGCACCCCAAGCGAAACAGTAGTTCTCCCTGCTGACTTTCTTATGTGGGGAAGAGACAATTCATTTATACACTGGCGGTGGGGTAGAAACAATAAAAATAATCTTTTTTTTTTTTTTGTTTTTGTTTACAAGGATGTTTGAGGCCAAGCAGCCTCACAGACCCCCAAGGAAATGTGTGTATCTGGGTGTTATTATGATGGCGATCATCTCTAGAGGTCTTGGCCAAAATCCAGCCCCTTCTGCATGCAGTGCAGTAAGAGGGGAAGGGGTACATATATCCATGTATACGTACACACACAGAGATGTAGTGGTGGGAGGCCAAAAGGAACAAGGTGCTGTGGGCAGGAAGGAGTCTGGTGGAAAAGTAAAGACCAAACATCCCTCAGGTAACAGTGGAAATGTAGGGCCAAGGCAGGACCTGAACCATAATCTCTTGAATGCCAGTCCAGTGCTTTTCTCACAGACAAGTTGCTTTTTTTCTTACGTGTGTGGACACATGGCTAGGGCTGAACGTGCTGTTCCAACAAACAATTCAACAAATTTAAACATCGTGGTTTTTTTCAATTTGCAACTTAGAAAAGAGCAAACACACACTCCAGGACACATTTGTAGCAGTGTGATTAAGCTGTGTGAGCATAGCTCAGAGCTATTTTTGGGTTGGGACTGTTCTTCCACATTATTTTTTTATGTCTCTGGGCTAAGCATATTCCTATGTTGAAAGGATATAATGAAAAAAACAATTTTGCATCTGAAATAACCCAAAAATTTGACATAGAAAGTAACTTTCATGAGATGAAAAACAGTTTTAAGCACTTCAAAGTTTTAAGCACTTAATAGAAACAGGCTGATTTGAAAGGCAGTTGAGCATTACAGAAGCTTCACTCTCACAAAACACACTCATCAGACAGGTTCCATGCTTTGAAAGGCAGGCAGCCACCCAGCCAGGAGCTGTATCATGTGGCCCGGGAGATCAAACAGCGTAAATGCCACCCTCCAAATCAAAAAAAACCTCTGCATAAGCAGAAAGTGGTGAGTAATTCACTGGTTAAATACTTACATAAAAACCATTCATAGAATAATACCAAATAATCAAATTTATAAAAATTGAAGTCTGCTCATGGATAATTTGCAAACAGAAAGAAAGGATAAATTCAAAGGAATAAATTATTTGCTGCAAATAATTCAGTCAGACCTATTATGGGACATTGATTTGGTTTCTGGTTAGCTATAAAATGACTGCCTATTAACATTTTACCTTTTCCCAATACACTTTTTGATACATTATTATGGTTTCTTGCTTGGTTTTACGACTTTTTACCTTCCTCTCTGTACATCTGTATGACAATTTAATTGACTGCTGTGTATTCCAGGGCTGGTAGTAGAAGCTAATTTAAATATGTTATAGCTAATGTTGGTCCTTTACCCATAATAATCCTTGCCACATTTTTATCTTCTTATTGATTATGTGCATATGGCAGGAAAATAGCTGCACACTTTGGATTTCTATTCAGGCGTGAATTTGGTTTTATACTGCATGTTTAATACTCAAAGTGTTTTATAAAATAATACTGATGGTGCAATGAGCATGCAGCCAAACAAAGCAGACAGATCTGAACCAAACTGCATCCCAGATGCCCATGGATGGATACACACATACAAGGGCTGAGACACCTCTAAATAGCTGCATGGACATCAGAGAGCTAAACGTAGCCCATTGACTTCCACACATGAACTATGCCTGACCTATAGCACTTTAAACATCCTTTAATTATATTTTAACAGGCAAGAAAAATGTTTACAGTGTCCTCCTGCATAAGAGCAAACACTGAGGATGTTCCAGTGTAATTAGCACACCTAGCACTTAGAGAGAGGTTAAGCCAGCCAGAGCTTTCTAAATGCGCCTGTGCCTTGTCTCAGATGTTTCTGTAATTAGCAGAGGCCCCAAACAGGCTGAGGTACCAGGGAAAAGGACAGAAATCTAGATCTCTCTTTGTGGAACATTTGTAGGCATTAAATAATTAGGTAAGGTGTCTTAATTTTCTCCTAGTAACTTAACATTTAGCTTTAAGGTATAAAAAATAATTGCTGGAAGGAAAATTGAGATTATACATTAGCTATGGTAATCCTGTTCATATTGTATATAATTAAACTCTTTAAATGCACCATTAGATGAGGGCTTTTATACTCACCACCCTGCATCAGGAGGTGTGACCTGCTATCACTTAACTGATGCCTAGAGAAGTATTCACAATTGGAGCCCCGTGTACCCTGCTGTTCCCAGAAAAGTAGGACAAAGGCATCAGTGGGGGGTCAGATTTGGGAAGTGTTTAAGATGACACTAAAATAATGCTGCTTTCTTTTTTCTCCCCACCCCTTCTCAGTCCATGACAGGTCATCATCTGGCCTGCCTGTGCTCCTGGGGCTCTCCTTTTGCGCTGTGCTGATCCTGGCTGCGAGTCTCTACTACACCAGCATGAAGCAAGACACCAAAGTCCTGGAGGAATTTCAATCCCGACTTGTTATCTTCTTTCTTCAGATAAGACACATCGCTCATAAATGCTGGACTTGGTTTATGAGGTAGTAGTGATGACCTCCATCTGCAGTGAGCCTGGTAGACTTCTCAGAGCACTGGTAACCATCACGCAGCAGATCAAAGCTCCCTGTCCACTCAGTCCCCATGCAAGGAACACATGAGCATCCAACTCAAAGAACAAGAAAACCACCCCTCTTGTGCACTTTCTAGCAGCTACTTGTTCTCCTTTCCTTTTTTTTTCTTTTTCCTTAACATTACTGAATGATAATAATAGCACCAAGAGGTTCCACCAAATTGATGCTCCATCATCCTTAACAGCAAACAAGTGTCTGAGTTTTGTCCCCCAAAAAGCTTATAAACTGCTGTTATGAGGAGCAGAGGCAGAGAGAAATTCATTGATCTGTGCAGGCAGCAGCACGCTGAATAAAAGTCTCCCGAGTCTCAGGTCAAAGCATTAAATACCAAATCATCTTTCTCCTCATGTCTCCTAAGAGCTATTCTACAGAAGTTAAAATAAAGCTGAACTATTGCACAAACACTGCTCTGGTGGCCAAAGGCTTGTCAAGCTGCTACATTTATATACCTGAAATGATTGTTAGTAAAATCACTGCAAATAGCTTTCTTCTTTCCCTTCATGCATTTTTTCCTCCATGGGCAAGAGTGGACTCTTAATGTTTCACTTGACTCCCAGGTGTGAAAAAGAACATGAAAACTCATTTAAATAGTAAACAGAGCATTTGCCTAACATAATACATAGCAGCATCAAATCCCAGGTTAATTATCAAATCAGTGGCTTAATCCTCTGGGCTTGATGCAGTCCATAAACCCCACGAGCTGAGCTTACAAGATTTATGGCAGTGCTTGTCTCCAGTCAGAGGTTTTGCTTTTATGTCTGTGTGTTCAAAACCTTATGTAAGGGTATTACGGACTGTTTATGAAGGTGTGGGGTCAAAGCCCTGTAATCTCTTTGTTGTAGCACCATACAGTGCAACCTCTCTGGAGCCAATCATTTTTATGGAGATCAGGCAATAAATGTGGAATGATGCTCTGGGTGCCTGAGAGGACATCAAGCAAGTGCAAGCTTATGAGCTTGAGCTATGTTTTCTTCCTAAACAAAAACATCATGTCACACTTTTCAGGCCTTAGATTCTAGTCGAGTAACACTTGATATATGCTTGGGTTTATTCAGTGTAAGGATGACAGCAGAGCCCATAAGAGCTGAAGAAAAAGAAAAGAAAGAGAAAGGAAACAGGGCAGAGAATATGGATGTGATGACTGCACGACCTTGACTAGAACTCCTCTGCGTTTGCAACCCACTAAAAACAAGCAAAAATAGTGATTTATTCTTAATTGACTTTTAAAAAAAGAGAGGACAATACTTCTCTGCCCCACCAATCTTGTCCAAGCAGCCCAAGGACTTAAACCAGGCAGAGGATTAAAAGAAACCAATTATGCAGCCTTCTCTCAGGAGCAGAGTGGGCAGCAACTTGACTGAGAATGAGTGCAAAAAAAAAAAAAAAATGCAGTCAGAAACAGAAAGAAGTGGCTTCAGCAGCTATTTTCATGCTTTTCCTAAGATGTCAAAGGCCACAGCAATTGCACCTGACAAGCTGCTGGCCTGGGACCCAGAGGTTGCTGCAGGAGCGTTTGGCTCTGTGGCTCTTTGCTCAAACCACTTGTGTATCCCAGCTCACAGGGTAAGTCCCCTGGTGCTTCCCTTCCCTTTCCCCACCTCAGCCCTGCTAATAAATCAGAAAAGTTTTAAACTTGTGTGCTGGTGAATCCGTGGCGGGAAGGTTTGGATTGTGACACACATAGGGCAAGGGGGTGATTGCAACTCCTGTTTTCACTTCTGTTTATGACCTTTTTAATGTTGCTGTTGGAACTCTCTGCAAATCAGTGGTGTACCTTTTGGGGTCTGGAATGATGTGCCCTCCTAGCACTCAGTACATAAAAAATGGGGACCTTTCTTGGAGGGTCTGTTCCCACACTGCAAGTGGTGGCATGTTGTAATAGGAAGGCAAAGCCTGGGCTGACAAAAGCTGGGTCATCTTGAGGAGAGCAGTACAGGGAATCCTTCCTGAGTGCTGTCAGCCTGGTTTTGGTAACTTGAAAACAAGCCAAAGAGCTAAGATAAAAAGGGATCTCCTCTTTAGGACTGGGAGGCACAATGTGAAAACAATGTGCATGGTCACGTCTCTGTGCTGCTCCCCAGGAGGTGGGCATGGGACCTCCTTTCCCTCAGCCCTGCTCGGGATGGAAAATGGCCATGTTCTCCTTTATATCAGGTGATAAATCAGGGCCCAGCCTTATCAGTGTGAGTGAGGCACACTCTGAGAATGGCTATCACAACCGGGCTGTCAGGGAAAGTAAGCAGAGGAGCAGCTATTCCTGGCTCTGGGTGAGACAGTTTTGGGCACAGGCAAAAGCAGCACTTGAGCTGTCTGCAGAAGCCTCCCCGTAGCCTTGCTGGCCTCCTGGGTCAGGACTGTTTTGCTGTGGTCTGTCAGCTCCATGACAGACTGCAGAGAGCCAAAACAACACATTGCAGAGCACCACCAGATAGTTTGAAATAAATAAATATTAAACCCCATCCCTGGGACAGCAGTGTCCTTTTTCAGTTGAAGAAACTGAAGCTGAGAAAACCAATGTATCTGTGCGGCTGAAGGAAGCAGGTCAAAAACTAGCCTGGGAACAGGGGTAAAAATCCTGACCTCTAGGCCTGCATTTAATTTCTGGTTATCAGGGTCGCTGTGGACTTACCTGCTTTATTTCCTCCTCATGCTGAAGCTCTTGTCCCCTTGCTTCACCCACGCTGCTTACACAGCCACACAGATGCACACACACACCCTTTTCCCACTCTGTCTTCCTTCTGCTCTTTATCCATCACACATCTATCCTCAGTGCTGTGAGCTGGGCAGGATTTCTCATTACTCTTGCTCGACAATTTTTTTTCTAGGTGTGACCCCTTGGTGAGTCTGTGAGTTTGGAGGAGTTGAAAGGAGCCCTGAAATTATAATGAATCAGTCATGTTGGTTACTATTTCCCCTGATGGTTGTGCTGGCTAATATTTCCCTGCAGTACAACTCCTGAGAATTGCCTATAAAGAGGAAAACAAAAGGAGAAGGACCATATAATTTACTACAAATGGACCGAATGCTCACATGAATTCACTGTGGTGCCAGCGTGGAGACCAGCTATAAAAGTCAGGAGTCCTGAAGTCAACTGGCTCTGAGCAATTATTTAGTCTGGCTTGGAAATGGTCGTGTTTTTGCCTCAAAGAGCTGGGGGAGGAATATGGAGGACAGGACCCTTGCAACAGATTTTGAAGCAGACAGTGAGGATGTGGGCTTGCCATGAGCAGTGTCTGTGCTGGTGAGAGTCAAAGGGCCAGAAGGAAGCAGAAAGAGGTTTATGCATGAAAATGGGCTAGTGTGAGGGCCTAAGGGCAGAAGCGATGCCTAATATCCCTTATGTAATGGGTGTTAAATTCCCCATAGCAGGAATCAGCAGACCGTAGCAGTGTTGCTTTGACAATGTGCAGTACATTCCTGCAGCAGGAATGGAGGGCAGCTGCCAACACCCTCTTCAGGCAGTTACACCCCATCAGCAGCACCTGATTGCACGAGCAGGTGAATCCATACTCATACAATTGCAGGAGATAGAAAAGGACACAACGAGATGACACTAGATTTTTTTACATTAACCTTTTAATGCACTTGGCATTAGTGCTGGTAAAAGGGAGTTCCAGAGACTGCTTACAGTCCTACTCTTTTGCTTCTTCTCTCCAGTCCTGCTAGTCTGGAAATAACCCATAGCAGCAACTTTAGTTGACATTTCTGCCTTTTGACACTTTGAAGCAATCAGAAAGGTTGGCAGCATGTGGCTAGAAAAAGAGTATTAGCAGCTGCCCTCAAGAAATAACTCAGAAGCCTCCAAGATATTAGAGTGGACTTGTTCCTTATTAATTCCTTGCTCCAGGAGATCTGCTGGGAATCTTTAGACCCACCCCTGAAGAGAAAGTCCGGGGCTACAAAAAGAAAATTAACTGATTGGCATTTAGAAAATGAACCTGCTGTGCAGCCTGTGGTACCCGTGCAGCCTGTGGTACCCCACTACACTTGGTAACCCGTTGGCTTTCATCTGCATCCCATGCAGGTGAACTGCCTTCTCCTTGCCTGCTGCAGCTTTAGGGCTCACTGCTGGAAGATGGTACCAAGAGGGCTCAGCATAGGGAGGTTGGTCATGTCTAAGGCCATGCAAGCTGCAGCATGGTGATACCAGGGAATGAGGGAACAAACTAAGATGTCACCACTGACTTTGGTAATTATTTTTTAACTTGCACACAGTAAATTCAACTCACTATCAAAAATCCAAACACAGAAATATTAACTTTTCAAGTAGTTTATTCATATATATCACCAAATCATAAAAAGCCAATGCACCGTCCAGCAAAAAAAGCATCCATATATAAAACATTAAATCATTATCATTAACACTAGAGTATACCACTTACACTGAACCCAGTCCAGCTCCTACTAAAGCCAAAGGAAATTTTGTCAATGACTCTATTAGCAGAAGGATTGGACTCACAATTTTTATTTGCCAAGTGTTTACAAATGGCTGTATTAAAATGCTAGTAAAAAGCTTTCCTTTTGAGACTGTATCAAAACAATAAACCTAACTCCATTTTGATTTCTGTCAAATGCATGCAATTAATGCTCCAAATCAGCACTTGTTACACTGCAGAAGAGCATACAAAGCATGAGAAAGAAGATCCAAAACAGACCAGGCTCTGCCCTCAGCTTGTGCAGACTGGCATGGCTCCAGCGAGGCTCACAAAGCTAAGCTGCGTACACCAGCTAAGGATCTGCCCCAATCCTGCTTTCAACAGTTAAATGAATTATGGAAACCTGGAGACTTCCAAAACAAATTGTGAAAATCTGCGTGGTCCAAGCTAAGGCTGAAAGCAGTGTCAGCACTGCTTGCCCAGGCTCTGCCACGCTGGATCCCTCGTGTCACAGCCTGAATGCTGAAATCCCTCACGGGAAGAGCACTAATAGTTCTCCACACTATCTATTTTTATTCTGAAGTATGGCACTCTCCTGTCCCTCTTGACTGTGCTTTTCCCTGATAGGAAGAGATGTGAGAAATAACGCCTGATTAGCCTGATGGCAATAAAACCCTGTGAAATTATTCCAGAAATGCTTTTAAAGAAGAAAGGATCCAGGGAAAGGAGACGTCAGTGGAAGAGGTTTATTATTTTTCTTTGAATAAAAACCTGCAAAAGCCTGCAAAACTCTTACAGCAGTATATTTTAGATCATAATATATTGATTTCTCATTTGGGCTGAAAAACTGCAGTAGCTTTACTCAGAGAGTATTTGGCTATAATATGGCACCTGTCTGAGCTGGCTGTGGACCCTGTGCAGTGGTTCTCCCCCCAAAGGATGCTCTTCAGCACTGAGCTTCCTACAGTCATTTGGCCAAAGGACTGCTTTCATTTCTTAAAAACTATGGTGTAAGGAGGCTGTTAGCACCTTTAGAAGCCAAATGGTGAACACACTTTCAACAAAGAGGATTAAAATCATTGCAGCATCCTAGGAAGTGTGGCAAGGGTTAATTAACTACATCAAGATCCAGCGCGTTGCAGGAGGATGTGCTGTATTTCAGGCACAAATAATTGCACCTCACAGTGTTAAAAGGGAAAAATAATTCCTTCTGCTGCAGGAGCAAGTGGGAGAAAAGCTCTGGAGTGTGTTATGTGGGATACCATGACAGATGATTTTAAAACATTTCCCTCCCTTAAAATCTGTGGATTAATATCCCACTTGTCTGACTCCACCAGGTTCCTCAAGAGAGTGCTGGCACCAGTCTTGGGAACCTTTCAGAGCAACATGTCAGACAAATCAGGCCTGGCTTGTGTAAAGGGAAGAGTTCGGCGTCGAACCCCAGAGAGCCCAATGAGAAAAGAGAAAAGCTGAAATGTTTTTTCTTATTTTCTTTTCCACAAAAAGTAAAGTTTGCAATTTCTCTTGCATTTGTAAACACTATGCAGAACCTGTATACAAACTGAAGTCAAACTTGCCTAAATTTGGAGGAAAATGAAGGGAAAATAAGGAGTTTTGCCACAGGGCCATTTATCTGCCTGCATGAGAAATCACCCAAGAGGTCAACTGCAATGATGGATCTTCATTCCCACCTCCTGTCAGGGTGTCTCCACCCTCACTTTGCAACATAGGTGGGAAGAAAGAGGGATCAAAACCTTCTCATATTTTGTTTCCACCGCAAACAAATAATTCAAGTTATTTCAGTGAGCTCTTGCTGCCAGGTACTTTATCTCCTTGATAAACACCATAACCACCAAGCTAAAATGTCAGTTTTTAGGAATTTCTAGCCAAGTAGAAAAGTTCTAACAGGAAGATTTGAGGGATATGCAGAATAACAGCATGGTGAGAGCATTTGCCATGCAGATGGAGGCTCATTCTTCCCCAGGAGGCAAGGAGGTTAAAAACCTGTGCCTTGCAGCTCCCTCCCTGTGGAGAGGGCTGGGAAAGGAGGGCCACAGCCCATTTAACGAGTAGCTCCATGCTTCTGCCACTCCTGTGAAATCCTACTTGCCAGGTAACATAACTTTCCATGTCTAACAAGTCATGGTTGCTGACATAAATTTAAAAAAAATAATAAATTATTTGACCCATCGAAAGGGCTATTCTCAGAGGCTTTCTTGGGTGCCTATGCCCATTTTATAGGAACAAGGATCTGACAGGAAGTTGATGAGATAAATCCTAAATCCTTAAGCTCAAAATGAAAATAGGATTTAGACTCTTACATGCATTCTTTTCTTTTGACTGTTTTATGCAAGAACACTTCAATCAGTTATAGCAGCTAGGAGAGGTAGAAAGGTTTAAGCACTCGGGTGAATACATTCACATTAATCTATGTTTGCAGTATCAGTTCGATTACATTCTTTGGCATGGACAAAAGAAACTAAAGAGAAAGCATTGCTATATAAATACTCCTCCCAACAACAGAATGGAAAGATGCTATCAATTACATGCCTGCCTTGAAATAAACAGTACTTGCTATATATTAAGTAAATCATTGTCTAACCTCCCAGAAACAAATGCTAAATTTTTTTGAGAGACTGCAGTTGTGTTTTTCTCTTTTATGCCAGGAGTACATCAGAATGCTTTCTTCTATGCAGTTGTTAGATTCAGAAATTGCATGGAATGTTATCGCTTAAAGCAAGCAAACAAACAAACAAAAAATAGAAATACTCTTAGGTTTGTACCTGTGAATGCTAAAATATAGTTCAGGTTAGGTTTACTCTTCCTTGTGGGGAACAAAAATAAAAATATATACTTCTGGAGGGTAGACCATGAACAGAAATAACTCTAAAACAATTTCAGTGCTCATGAAGCTATATGAGCATTTTCTCACTGCATGCAGATGTGGAAACTAGCCAGGCAAAACCTAATTCTCCTCCCAGATTGCCTAAGCATAAGGAAAGGACATTTGTGGCCTCTAAAGCAAACATTCCAATGAGATAAAAATGGGCTATTTCCATCAGCAAGGGAAGTGGTCTGAGATGCGAATTTAGGGTCTGTATACAGAAACAATTCCCATTAGTTCAAGGATGTTCACATCCAAGCCATTAATTTAGAAGAGAAGACAAAAGTTTGTCAAACTCCAGATTAGTTTGTCATGGAAAACTGTAAATCTGATGAGTCTGAATGATTGTCTGGATATCTGTTAAATTTACAATTTAAACAACAAAAGCGATGCAATACATCAGAGGTGTTTGGAAAATGGGGAAAATAAAAGCCTCTTTCACCTAAACACACAGTTTGCATGGACTTTCCTGCACTGAACATTTTGCAGGTGACATCATCTCTGAATTTGCACATTTTCTATTTCTTTTTCTAACACCCATTACACAGACTGATGTGTGATTTGAGGTTGTGCAGAAACCTTGTTTCCAGAATAAAGCCTATCCAATGGCCTGTGGCTCACACTTCCTTTGCAATGGGGCCACAAATCCTGAGTCCACATCAGCCTGAAGAGACTTGTAGGCAGCAAATAATGTTGCCATTCTAACACATATCAGTCATTTTGGGAGCCTGTAGTGAACAATTTCTGGATCTTGGGTAAAAGGACCCTTTGCTAACGCATTAATACTGTAAAATGTGTGCTGCTGTTCTCTGACGCTCTACCTCCATCCTGAGTACTACACAGGTTAAGTCAGCAGCATGTTGTGTAGGTGAGGGAAGGCCTTGAAAGGACTCTGTTCCTTGCAGGACTTATACAGGACATTACCAAGAGCCTGGGGAGGATTTAAAACCTCTGCAAACCCCCATTAGAAACCCATCTCAGCCCTTCAGAGGTTGTGCCCTGGCTAGTGCTTTCCCACTCTGCACACATCACACCCGCATCCACCTCTGGATATCATCACCTGTGTGTCACACTACACAGACCCTAATAACAGCAAGAAAAAGGCAGTGCTGAAAGTTAAGGCACCCTAATGACTACTCCAAACCATGCTGTCTGTATCCATACTGCAGTATGGCAGTGCTGTTATTTCTGAAATTTATCTGTGTACATTGTACATACATGCATACACCATCTCTGAATCCTGACACTGAATGCTTTCATCAACAAAGTCTATCTACTTAAACACCCATCACCGGTTATTACAATACCCATTTTTCTAAGGGACCATAGAAACATTGCCACAGCGTGCATTTATCCTTAAGTTCTTAAAGTAAATCATCAGGCTCTTATTTTTGTGATTCCTACTAGAAGTTTACAGCTGAAAAATGCCTCCTGAATTAGTGGGATAAGATGTTATGAACATTTGTACCCTCATGAGGAAATTATGTTCCAAAAATAATTGGCTTTAATTGTTTCTCCATTACACAAATAAATAAATAAATAATAACCAATATTGATCTAAAATCTCAGCCAAGATGTTTTAGCTTGGCTGAGATTTTTCTAACGCAGCTTGCACTGCTGGCAGGGAATTGGTAAGGAAATTAACCACAGATGGTAGCCAGGACACAGGGAATATATTCAATATAACAGAATACTGGCAACACCCCAGTGTCTCAGAAAGCACCATCCACTTGCTTTTGACTGTCTAAGGTTCAGCCTGCATTACTAGCAATTTGCCCAGGCCAAAAATAAGATCCTTTGACTGTGGCTTTAACATCACAAGGAAAATGGCTAGAAAACCAGAGCAGCCCACACTCTTCACCTGAATGACCCACAGCTTTGCCACGGGCAGCAGCTAGCAAGCTGCATGGGCAAAGGCCACAAAGATCTTTTCCCTTCCATCATATGAAAAAAAATATATGCAAACATAAATATCACATAATGTTCTTGTTCTTTGAATATATCTCTTGCTAGAGTGTTCCCAGATGCCTGTTTTTGGATATGGTAAAATAAACAAGGCATTAAAATATCACAAATATCAAAATATTTGACTAAGATGAAACACTACTGCAGCCAAACTCTACACTGCTTGTCAATGGATGACTCAAAGAAGAGGTCAGAATGGTACAAAAGAGAGATGTGTGTAGGTAGGTATACATAATGTTGCCATTCTAACACATGTTCAATGAGTTGGCCTGAGTGTCCAAGCTTTAGGGGAAGAGTTGCAAAAAGCTAAATGCAAACCAAAAAATTCCAAGGAGGCTCAATAACTGCATCCTTGGACTGTTCCTTTCCTCCCTCCAGTCAGACAGAGCTGCTCACCACACACTGCGTTCTCACCTGCCCAGCAGCTTCCTTCAAAACCAGCTTTGCATTTAAGCATCAATTAAGCTCACAAGCTGGGTGCCAGCCTCACTCAACCTGCTCAGCTGTGTGAAGCTGAAGAAAGACCTCTGTCATGTGAGGTAAAGGAATTCATCCACGTAAATGAATGAGACATGCCAAGCTTCGATGAAGTTAATGGGTGAGTCTATACATGTACTTGTTTTGGGGTGGCACTTCCAAAGGCTGAAGTGAGGTATTTCTTTCCTATTGGCTTTTTCTTAGCAGTAGGAACCTGGCTGTCCCAGACGCTTTAAAGATCCCGCTTTCTGTCTATTGAGCTGCAGAACAATGAAGATAGTGTCACTGAGATAGTGTCAGGGTGATAAATTTTAATGAATATGAAAACCACAGAAGCCAACGAGAGGAGGAACTCCAGACCCAGTGTCTGCTGCTTTTCATGGAAGTAGAAAGGAGGAAAAGACACAGAGACACAGGAAAAGAGAGGTAGAAGAGACTGTCAAGCGACTGGACAATCTCACAATGAAAAGCAGCATCTTGCTCCTCAGAACCAGTGACCAGGCTTGAGCCCTGGAGCCTCAGAGGAGGAATAAGGGGGAGGCACTCACTGCCATCTGCCCATCAGTTCTCAGGGCCCCCAAGCAAGACCAGTAACCCACATGTTACTGCAGCCTGTGTGATTTAGCACATACAGGCATTGTACTATCCAAAGCAGCAATGTGATCCCATGCAAGGAGTTAGGCGTGTACTGAAGGTATTTATGGAAGGAGACATCACTGGTGAGTCTTAAATTCCAGGCAAGGTTGGAAAGGGAAGTAGTGTCTGTTATAGTCAGAGAAGCAACTGGGGAAACAGAGGAAATAAGGTAACCTTCATGTCCTAAGCACTTCTTCCTGGTTAAAAGGGGAAGGTCATGCCCTGGCATGGGTAACTGCAGGAATGTCTTCCCTATTAGACAAACCAAATAAATAAATAAATAAGCCTCTAATAGTCCTGGTCTCTGAATTTTATATTGGTATTAACTAATGTTAATGCCAATTAACCCAATGCCAAATTAACTAATATTAATACCAATTAACTAATCTCTGATTCCTCCTTTAGGAACTTTTCCTTTTATTTCAATTCACAACCAAAAAATAAAAAATAAAAAAAAAAATCCACTGTTGTAAAGCTTTCAGAGGAATTGCATTCCCTTGTGGGTTGAAATCACAGTGAAAAACAAGATCTCCCTGCAGACAGCCATGACCGGTCATCTGAGGCTATGAGAGACGTTCACAGGGCCATCACACTGCTTATATCACATGGCCTTTTTTTTTTTCCTAAACCTGAGGGAACAATTTAGTTGTTAAATGTGATGCTAGATTTTATGCCCTAAAATCCTTACAAACTAAGGGATTTGTTATGACTTCAAGTTCAGTTTCAGCTACTTAAGTGGGTGCTTAACTTTATGCACCAAATAGTCCTCAGAAGACAACAGTAAATCTGCATGGTTGTGCTTGTCCAATGCTTGTGCTCTGATGGGGGGGAAGCCCCCATACTGCTTACCAGGCAGTATAGATGTACATGGTTTGCACTTGTTTTGCAATAAATTCAGTGTCAGTTCAAGCTCATCTGACACAGGCAGTGTTAGGGTGCTCCCTGAAATTCTTCTTCTGCTTAAACTTAACTTCTTGCTTAACTTTCCTGCTGAAAAAGGTCTACCATGCATCATGCACCAGGGTATAACTGCCTAATTCTAGCACAACTTTACTTCTCTGCCATGCAATCTCACACTCACCTAAGTAATTCCTAATTATCAGACCTACTTCTCATCCACCTTATTCACTGAAGTGCTGGCCAAGCAAAACTGAAAGCAACAACAAGGTCACGAGTGAGCTTTGTGAAAGTAACAGTTCTCCCTTTTCACGGCAAAATTCATCAGCCCTGGATCTCTTGCCCAGGAGTGGGGAGAATGGGTCCATTCAGCACTGAGTACCTATAAAATAGCTCAGCTGTTCATGCTCTTTGCTATGTTGATAGATATACACAGATACCACAATGCAAATGTTTACAAAAAATTTGCATATTCTGTATGAAATAAGTAGCACAAGTAAACTCTAATACTCAGAACTAAATAGTATACAATATTAGGGACCAAGTTATGCTTATAAATGCACAAGCATTGCTACTGTGAACTCAGCTTAACTTCTTAGTACGCAAGCTTCAGGAGTTGCTAGCTAAACTACACTTCAGGAAGCCATAATAAATGATGGTCATGCCAAAATCTAAGAATAAATAAAACCACAAACATTCTCCTCCATCCCTTCAAATGGTACACAGCTTTTTACAGATAACATAATGGTTTCATGAAATTCGTTAAAACTGTCTCATAGTAAGTATCATCTGGAACACAGGTCTGTACGTTCTAAGCAAACTCAAAATCAGAGTGGGAACAATAGGTTTGTCAGCACAGTGACCACACATAGCAAAAGCAGAGACAGCAAGAGTCTGTACTTGGACCGGAGCTACATCCACCCAGAATAAAGTGAGAATGAGAGCAGCTTTATTAGCAAAAGGGAGGAGAGAGAGACAAGAGGGACCAGACGCAGCTCCAGTTATTACTGTTGTTGCAGAACAATATGGAGGAATAGCATAGATTCTGTAGCCTGGTCTTGCCAGCACAGTCCTCAAAAAACAACCACTGCCCCAAAAGCCAGTGATAACACACAGAAATTCTGCTAGCAACAGCAGGTTACAGATTGTGCTGCTCCCTGCATGTGCAGGACAGAAAGTTTGCTATGTCAATGGCACATGGGGCAGTTCATTCTCTGTATCCTCACATGAATATTCCTGCCGACAATTTTTCATTGAGAAAGTGGGTGATTCATAAGTACAACTTTTTTTCAGGAAAAAATGCATCTCTCACACTCAATACTCTGACTCAACATCAGCTTGCACTACTGAATAATAGAACCTAGATCCTGCCCTGGAAATTTGCTTATGCTTTAGATCATGGCACTTTTCTCATCTTGCAAGGAGGTTCGTGAAGAGGATCTTCCTAGCAACAGCTCCTTCTCATGGATCAGGCTATCTAGCAGGTCCTCCTGTCTGTAGTTGTGATAAACCTTCAGGAAAGCCAGTATGGTAATTCCCAGCCAAGTCAGCCAGGCAGCCCAGAGACCAAACTAGAGAAGCAAAGAAATGACAAATATCAGTACTGTTTCACAAAGACAAAACCACCTGTCCAAGCGAAGATCGAAATCTCACCTAGACCAAAACCCATGGAGTCACGACAAGTTATGCTTTGTGAGCTTCTGGCCCCACTTCTCAATCCTGTCAAGATATTCTGAGCTTAAAAGGAAATAAAGCTTTAAGTAGTAGGAAATTTGATACAAAAAATACTAGGTTTGATCATGAAGAATTCTGTATAATCCACATGCAGCTGCTGAACTTCCCCAGCATCTGATGTTCTGGCCATCCCAAAATTCTTGGGATTATTTCTCTTCCATTACTTTAGAGTTGCCATATGTCTTAATACTTTTTCCAAAACTTTCTTCCTGAATCCTGTGGGCCTCTCACTACCCCCAGAGAAATATAAATTTCAAGGTGTTTCCATCCGGAATATTGTTGAGAAAATCCTACCAATTGAACTGTTACTTTCTGGGGTAAGTGGTTCACATTAGCAGGAGCTCAAACTGCAAGAGAAACCCAGTCTGACACATCCTAGTTCCTGGTGACTCATATATATTTGGCATATGAGACCTGAGCTTAAAGCCTCAGATCTGCAGTAAGTCCCATCACTGACTTGGTCACTCGTTTAACTTTGTAGAAATAATTACATTTTGATTGGTTCAGGTACTTGAATGTTGGCCTCCCCTGTCTCAGAGGAAGCTCATTTGTAGTAATGTAAATTTCTGCTTTCTGGCAGAAATTCCATTTTAATTTCATTATACTGTTAGGGAAAATAAAATAAAATAAAATAAAAAAGGTACTTAAATTCACATATTACAGTTTTGACATACTGCTTTTTTATTATTTCAAAAAATAAAAATGGACAAAGAAAAAATCTAGCACTTCCAGGAAGTAGCACAGCTGTTTACTTTAATAGCCAATTTAGATAAATAAGGGCCACTGTTATGTAAATGAGAGTTTGAGTTCCTATATATCTGATGCGTTTTAGTAAGGCCTGCTGAAGGAATTTATTGCACTCACAAGGAAATAAGTTTGCATTTGCTGGTAAGTCTAGTCTATTCTTGGATTTTTCATTCTGCTGATTGAATGAAACTTATTTGCCCTCCTTAGACAGACCCATTCTCATGCCTTCATCCAACTCTGCTTAATACACCCCGGTTATCAGAAAACAATGCTGAAGGATTTTGCTCCCTGCTTGGTTCTGTTTTCAAAGTCTCCCTCAGGCTCCCCTTTGTCACAACTACATTCAGCTTTTGAAGACAAATGGTGTTTCCCTGCAGCTGTTATGCTCCCAGGCTCCTCATACTTGGGTATTTTGCAGAGCTTAAATGATGCATCGTTCAGGCTAGCTCTACCCAGGTCTGGAGGAACGTGGATTAGAGTGGAGATCACCATCTGGCAGGACATATGTATAGATTATCAGCTGTCCATCCTGATATCACAGTATGAATGACTCAAATTGGCTACATGTAGGTGTGTCTGGGATGGGTGTCTAGATGCCATTGCTGGGTACAAAACCCACAAAACTAGCTCATGTCTAAGGGTCACAGTTGCCTTCAAGGAGTGTCCCAAGAAAGGTAAGGCTTCCTCCCATGAGGGACAACTGAAAAAGCATGTGTATGGGTGCAGCCTGCATGGATGGGGCTATCCTCCTCAAGGGACTGTGTTAGTATGTGTTCACATGCTCAAGTGCTCAAATCTCAGCGTTCACTGGTTTTGAGTGTTGACTCAGAGCTGGCATATTCAATAATAATATGACAGCCTCAGAGGTCTAATTCTCAAAGATCAGGAAAAAAAAATCTATCTAAAAGATAGCACTATTTCATTATTTTCAGTGGACTGATACTTATATGGGCTCAGGGGATCTTCTTTCTATCCCAGCCTAAACCAGGACAAACTCATGGAAGAAAAACTAACAGCCCCACAGTCTGCTGCAGGTCAGCCATTCTCTTCTTATTGCTAACAGCAATAAAGAGCTCCAGGACACCCAAGTGTCCAGGACACCCAAGGCACTCATGCTTTGCAGAAACAATAAATTTTCCATGATGAGTAAGAGTCAGGTTTTGACATATCTGTGTTCAAAACTATCTGTTTTGAATGTAAAATGCAAATGTACCCATTCACAATCATCTTGATTCAGCACATACTAAAGTCAGTGGAAACATTCCCATTGATTTCAAAGGATCTCATTTCAGCTCCAACAATCCCAGATCGATGAACAAATGGAAAGTGAACTGGAAGAGAACTGTGACCTAGTCTGACCTACCTGTGCAATAGCAAACTGGTCGTAGAAAGCAGAGTTTTCTAAGTTCAGTTCAAGATCTATATCCTGCAATTCTTCACAGCTACCAAGGAAAGCATTTGGAGGGGAAGAAAGAAAGTTATTTCAGAAATTCCAAATAGGCAAACAAAGCATAAAATGAAGCAATATCTAAGTGTTTCAAACAATCACAATGGCACATTCTATGATTCTATATTTAATTCATTTCACTAATTGGGTTGCTTGCAAATCTTCTCTAAAGCTTGAGTAAAAGAATCATGTAAATACTTGATTTAAAAAATGATGTGTAATTATCTAAGTGATAACACCAATCTTCCATAAAGTGGAACTGTGATAGTTATTATGAAAACAATATACCTAAGACCCTCTTCTCCCACTCCCCCAGAGCCTCCCACTTATACACATCTGGCATCAGCCCAGCTTGGTTGCTTCCCCCTCAATGAAACAAAGTGTATGAGCCTCCGTTACCTTTTGACATCTGACATCACCAGGAAAAGCCTCAGAAGAAGGGATTGTATGGGTGTTTTTGTTTCAGATGCTCCAGCAAGGAGACGGTACTCTGATGGTAAGATAGAGGCTGCCTACAGATTTTACAAATAACTTGGACTTTTACTGGTGTGAAAAAAATCCCGGGATTTTGAGGTTGTCTTTCTATCTCTTGGTTGATTTCTGCAGCCTCTTCTCTGTCCTTTTCAGTGCTGTCGATCATCTTGGGTTCTTATCCGAATATTCGATTAGGTGTTTTTTGTAACGGAATTTTTAACCGAATATTCGAATAATTCGATTAGCGTTGCAGCCCTAAACAGAACATTTACTATGGCATTTTACAACATATGACAATGTGCAATATAAATGTATGCTTTAAGTAGTACCTTTATTCAATATTGTATGACATAAAATGTCACCTTTTTATTTCTCTTCATTGTTATTTGTTTGATACAAAAAATTTACCTCAACCTATTAGTTTCCTATTCAGAGCACAAGCATCGTGAGATACAGCAGAACAATTTAGTGCCTGTGCATTTTGTGCCCTGTCAGAAAGTATCAGACCTCTATACTTTGCTCTTAAAATACTTTCTGTACTGTGGCTTTCAGGGTGTGTGCAGCACAGCTCTGAGGCCAGGTTTTGGGTAACGGTGTGTTGTGGCACAGGCAGAACAAGGGACTTGGCTGCTGTCACACAGGTCAGTGGCAGAGCCAGGACTTCAAGCCAGGACCCTGATTCCCAGGACACCCTCCCTCCTCCCTCCCTTCTTCGAGCTGAATTTCCAAATCCAGCTCTCTTTTGGAAATGAAAACTTTGGAATTAATGGTTTTCCTTTGCACATGTTCATGACTCTTAAAAAGACCATGAAACATGATGGAAAAGAGTTTGTTTTGTGGGGAACTAAAAGGAAAAAAGTTTGGTTTGCTGTTTTTGTACCAGATGAAAAGAATCTGGACTTCCATATTCTCCCCTTTGATTACCTTGTGTGTAACAGCTACAGTTTGTAACACCACTGTACATTTGTGCATATATGAAAGATAAAAAGAAGAAAATGTATTCTTCAATACTAACCTATTTGGCATGCTTCCTTTTTCGGTAATTGCATCACACCACATGTTAAATCCTACACTCACTATAGTGCTAGCAATAAACGTGATAAACACCACAAAGGCGCTGATCAGCAGATTCAGGAAAGCATAAAAGAAAGAGCTGCAATAAAAGGGAAGAAAAATGTAACTCATAAACAGCTGAAACACAACATCAGCAGTCTCTCTAAGCAGCATACACCAGACAAAGATATCAGTTTCCATTTGAAACACGTCTGCTTTAATTAAGAACATCTAATATATTGAAAAACTATGGCTTATGATCTTGAGTTACGTTATCTTCTTTTGTAAGCTCTTTTGATTTAGATTTATTATTTTCTTTAACCGTAAGAGGATGTGGCTTTAAATCATAAATGCTAAGTGGCTATCGTTCATACACAGCACGGCTTTCATTAGTTGTAATGATGAAAATCACCATTGTTAAAATAAATGTCATTAGCTCAAATTATATAGTAACTGGAGCTAAAATTATTTCATGGCTAAAATGATAATTGGGACCAAAATTGCCTACTAGAGGGAAACTAAAACTAAAAATAAAACAACACAGTACTGATAGCTATAATCATTTTAAGCAATGTAACACAAGGTACTGGCATCATAGGACACGAATCTCAGTTTTATGGGCAATTTGCAGAGCAGGCCAGTTTCTCCTGGGACATCTCTGGCTTTGGTGTCAATATGTTATTTCTGCCAGCCGAATGTCAGTTTACATCAACCCAGTTAGTCTGCATAACCAGAACCAGCTCTAGGCATATGCTAGAGGAGGTAAGGGGTGGGATGCTCAGAGTGGTACCATTAGGCAAAGGAATTGTCCAACTATTTTCCAGCCTCACGAGTTAGTCTTCTAGAAGGATGGACTGGGGTTCACTGAAAGAAGAATGGCCCTGCCTAACTCTGCCACTTACTTCTAGTTTATGAAAACTTTCTCATTCATCTGGCCAAGCTCTTTGGTACTTGAAGCTGCTCTAGGTGGCAGTTGGAAAGTCTCACTATCTAAAAACTGAACATCTACTCTAGGTTGGAGAAAGACTGTCAACTCCAGGAGGAAAGTCATCCGGTTCAAGTTAGATTGTAAGGACAAATATAACAAATTGTCCAGCAGTGCACCTCTCATTGTTCTGGGGATAAAAGGAGTCTACTCACCTCAGAGAGCAACAACAACAAAACAAAACAAACAAACAAAAACTAACAAACAAACCAAAACCAACAACAAACAGACATTTATTTCCACAGTTCTCTCAATATATTAAAAGTTGAGAAGCTTTTTGAGTCAGTGTCTGAATCCCAGCAATGTTCTGGGCTGGACAATCTTAATTTCTACAGGTTACACATCCTAAGGCATATGTGACCTTGGTAGAACTTCTTTAAAATTAGGTGAGGCAACATTCACCAGTTGGGCTAGGAATTCTGTTCCTGGGTTAACATGGATTTGAAGTGATTGTCTAGGTTCTCTCAAAAGTGTAGCCATCCAATCTCAACACCAATGTAAAAGAAACAAAATCATTCACTTGCCAGATGTGCCCTTACAGACTGCAGTTGGAGCTGGATGCTGGGACACCTGACTTGTAGAGGAATGTTGACATCAATCCTATTCTTCTCCTTCAGCTTCACTGGACTGGGAACAGATCAGCTCAATGCTGCAGAGCACCAGGGTCACCCACATAGCAGATGGAGCTGGTATGAGCACACCACAGTTAATGTGCAGTCATTGTCCCTGCCCTGATTTCATATCTAACCTAGGTTTTAATTGTCACTAAAGCCATATCTACTGTGTGCACCTTAGTACAGTATGCTGGCCTGAGACACAGAAAAGACTTGAGCTGTCCACCGAATAAAATCAGGGGTGGCACTAGAACTAATAACTGCTCTAGAAAAGGAAAGGTTCGCAGGCATATTCAGTGCATTATCTCAGGTCCCTGTCTGCACTCCACTTCCTGCCCTGCAGCACAGAAGATTGCCAAGGTCCAGACTGTCTGCCAACGAAGCAGGTCTCAGCGTCGCTCCCGGTTTGAACTGGGCAATCACCATCATCACCACCACTGTGTGTGGGGATTCCTCAGTCCAGGCCATCTTGGTAGAGAGCCAGGGCAGATCTGGCTCTCTGCCTCACCTATTTTTCTGCTTAGATCAGAAGGATCACAGCCTGTCCATGAGGCAAAGGGTGCTCAGACCCTTCTGAGAACGATAGGTGTCAGTCCTAATTATTTGAAGCACATAAAGACTGGACACCTTGCTGGGATGCAAGTGCATCAGGGCAGCTCATGGTGGAGCTGGCCCAGCAGCAGTGGTCCTGCTCAGCAGGGCCAGTACAGATGTTGTCCTGGGGCTGCCCCAGTTGCCTCTGATCATTTATAATTTATGGTGAAGAACTTGTGTTTATCTCTCCACCCAAACAGACCTGCTCTCATGCCCATATGAAGTGTTAATAAATGGCTGTCTAAAATCAGAGCAGCGTGTGTGTAACCTGCTTTTCAGAGAGACAGACGCAGACCTGGGCATGGGACAGACCTGCCCTTTTCTGAGGAAGCTGCTATTTTAAGCAAGTTCCAGTTCACCCTGTTTTACCCTTCTCTGATTCTCTACAGCTACTCCAACATGTAGAGTTGCTCTGCTGTTGCTCCCCACCACACAGCAACCTCCTGCCCCCTTTCTTGCCTGGAACAACTCTGCTCAGCATTACACAACTGCTACTGCTCAGCCTAGAGGAAGGAGCCTGAACACAGCTCCTGAAGAGACAGTTTTCAGAAGCCTGCCCAGCAGTTTAGGAGTACATAGCTACATTTGGAAGTAGGCCAAACATCAGACCTAAATCTCACTATTTCAGGCTGTTTACTGCTCGTTTCTTCAAAAAAAAAAAAAAAAAAAAAAAAAAAAAAAAAAAGAAAAAATCTGGTTCTGAACTGTAAAGATGAAAAAAAAAAGTATCTGGATTCCATTAATACTCTATAGGTATCTGATGACCTGAGGAAACTGAATTCAAATGTAGTAAGTCCATGGTTATACTTAGCTCTTCTAAGGTAAGTTTTAATGTGGAAATAAGCCTCTCTTCTATACTTCCTATAGGGTGTTTTTGTATTAGGCAGCTTGAGTGTGGTCAGAAAGGGCCAGGGAAACACCCCAGCTACCCATAGTCCCAAGTACTACCACACCAGGCTATTGTACAAGCCCAGGGTTAAGAAACAGCCACTGACTCAAGAAACTTCTAGTCCAAATAGACCTGGACATGAGTGATTTACCCTCCATCTGGTAAAGGAAAATGGCTTTCATAGTCTAGCAAGCCACCAGTACATGCTCCTGCCTTCCCACCTTCATACAATTGGGTGCTTGGAAGACCCCAGAGCACCCTCAGGTTGGGTCACCTGTGCCAGGGTTGTACCAAAAGCTGCAGGACATCCCTGGAGAGCTGAGCACTGAGCACAGAACTGCTGAGCTGCTGCCCTGACCACCAGGCCCTCATTCCAGATCTGAGGCACCCTGGTTTGTCTGAGCAAAGGAACCGACTGCTGGAGCAGCCCTGCCGCAGTGTGCTCAGCTTCACTCTCATGTCGTAACCAAGCAATCGCTGTTCTCTGCAATAGTTGCCATGTCCACCACAAAAGCAGAATAAAAATAGGGGGAGAACTACCGACTGCTCCCACCTGCCCCCCACCACGCACAGCTGCGTTGGCTCAAGGATTCCCAGATCTACAATCAGGGGAAGGCCTCTTCCTGCTGGGACATGTAATGGGACCACAATCAGGAGGCACCTGCGAGCCCCAGCCTCCAGCATCACCCCACAACCTGCAGCACCCTTCGTGCCCACCACGACTGAGCTGGCCAGACGCTGCACCCAGATCCCAAAGGGTAGCAGGAGCACAGCAATGAATTTGGCCCCCACCCCAAACCCATCCTCTGGAGGGGGCCACAGACTGGGAGTACACATGGGGTGCGTGTGCAGGCAGAACACCCCCTCACCCCAAACCCCTCTGGGCAGCAGGACACAGGTGATGCAAAGCCCAGTGCTTCATCCCTGAGGCTGCTGCCACCTGCCCCAGCCTGCAGGAGGGGCTGGCACCCCCTGCCCTCCCCGGGGGTACTTACTCCTCGTGCCCTTTGCAGAGGAAGAAGAGGGTCCTCCAGGCCTGCACTGTGGCCAGCAGCAGGGAGAGGAGCCCGGTGAAGATGCTGAAGCGGCAGGCGGCCTCGGGCCCCCACTCCTGCACGGTGAAGCGCTGCCGCTCCACCGTCAGGTTGGCGTTGAGCCACATGCCCTCGGTGAAGAGCAGGCACCGGCCGTGGAAGTCATTGCTATTCTCGGACAGAGGCACCACCACGATGAAGCTGAAGAGGAAGGCCAGGAAGTAGCAGATGCACTGAGCGAAGAGGAAATTGCTAAGCGCCATGTCTGCAGCTCCGCGCAGGCAGAGGGAGGGATGGAGGGAGGGATGCAGGAGGGAGGGATGGAAGAGGGAGGGATGCGGGAAGCAGGGCTGCCGGGGGGAGTGATGTGGGGGGGAAAGGATGGAGGGATGCGGGGAGGAAGCCTGCAGCAGTAGGGGGTGGGGAGGGAGAATGCGCAGTGCAAGGATGCGATGCGATGCCTCCGCTGGCACCGCTGCTGCCGGAGCTGTCCCCTCCGTCTGTGTACTGATGGCTTCAGGGTTTGAGCAGGGAGAGAGAGGAAGAGGTGCTGCGAGGATTCCTCTTCTCTGGGAAAGTCTGGCTGCTGATACACCCTGGCACCCAGGGGGTTATATAAATCGGCGTCCCCCAAGCGAGGCTGGGTACCACCAGGCTCTCAACAGGGTGTCCCCTTAAGGACACAGACACCTGTGTCATCTGTGCTGGTGCCTTTGAAACACAAAAAACCAACCTCATCCTGGCTGCTGGATCCCTGCGGGCTTTGGCCCCTATTTCAAAAAACTTAACCAAAACACTGCACAGACACTGACATCAAGTGACCACCCTTGCACACCTGCCCCAGAGGGCACTCAGACCACAGCCTACACAAGGGAAGCGTCCTGTCATCTCTTGGGTCCTGTATCTCTGTTTCTCCAAACCCATAACTGAAGCCATGATGTACCTCAACCCAAACATCTGGCCAGCAGCCTGAGCTGGTGGCAAGAAGGGTCAGCGTGTAGGGGTTCCCACCCCAGTACCTGCAGACCCGGCGGTTTTAGTCCCAGCCCAGCTCTTGTCTGTCCCCACCCCAAGACATTGCAAGTGGCAGCAAAAGCTCACCAAAAGTGGAATAACTTTGTTGAGGCTTGATGCCAGCTAACCCTGAGCTCAAGGAGGACATGGAGCTGAGAACACCAGCCCTTGCTCTGGGCACAGCAGAGGCACTTGCAGGACAGGGACAGTCAATGCTCACACCATTCCCAGGGGCAGAGACACACTCAATCCCAATTTAATTTTCCCATTTAAGTATAACTCCTCTTCCCAGCATAAGACAGTGCAATTCTTCTCCAGTTCCAGGTAAAGCCATTTCCTAACCCAATTTCCCAATCATATTCAGCCTGAAGTGAAAAAGTTCTCAGCCACTTCTCCTTGCCAGGGCTGCTTCTGCTCACTGTAGGCACTGTCACACTTCCCAGGTAGTGTTTAGCAGAGCAGAAGAGGAACTGGGACACTGATTACACCTCACATGGGATTTCAGGCTTGTGCTTCCTTCTGGGAACAAATCAATTATTCTTCTGTGCTGCGAAGAGGTTACAGTACTGAGGCAGAGGCTGGGGGGATTCTCACTGAGTATGGTCATTCAGCTTCATTGTAATTTATTTGCAATGTATATAACCTTGAAATCTTGCTCTGTCCATACAGGGAGAGTTGTTTGTTTGTTTGTTTGTGCAGAACCTGCTTCTTGAATAAAAACTTTTGTCAGTTATACCCCTGTTTGATGAAACATGTCAGGCCGCTTTTCTGATCCTTACCCAGCCCTGACCATCAGAATTTGTATTGCATTTTTTGCAAGAAGAGTTAAAAGCACTGGCCTGACCCTGTGGGGATAGACATGCACTCCTAACAGAAAAGATTTTGCTGATATTTCAGTCTGGATGTAAAGAGGAAAGTTTATTGCTCTTATCCTTACTTCCAGGCAGTGCTGGGTTCCCAAAGGGTTTTGTCCTTTATCTGCAAAGAAATCAGACCTAGACTGAGCTGGAAAACTCCTTCTTTGAAACCTGACACATCACATTAGCCAGATAGTGTTTTCTGAAGTTAACTTGGGAGGTCAACAGCAACATAAAAGTTCAGTTATTCCTTACAACGGAGCACGCAGAAGGGGCCAGCAGATGCCAAGGGCTCTTTGCCTCTGGCAAACCCAATGCTCAGATCTCACCACCAGCAACCACAGGGCTCTGCTGCAGGAGGGCTGCTGCAGAGGTGAACGTTAGGGTCGCTTGCAGAGCGTGTAGAGTTGTCCTTGCTGGTGAGCCAGCTCGAGCTAACATTTCTGTGAGAATTTCAGAAAATACAGCTAGACATTTGCAAATGTTAACAGACATGTAAAACACTGCTGCTCTTCGGAGGGTGACAGCAATTGGAGCGCAGTGCTTGGTGGGGTGGAGTGGCCACACACCAGAGTGCACAAATGGGTAGAATAACCTGTCATCTGCCACTCGCCTGACAGCTGCCTGAATTCCTCACTCTTATCTCATGTAAATCCTAAAAAGAAAAAAAAAAAAAGTTAAATAAAAATGACACTAGGCAGGAACTTAGAATCTGAAACACGACATTGTTTTAGTGGAATAAATGTGATGGTGTTTTATAAAGAAGACTTAAAAAGGTTTTGTGACCTTAAAACGGTGCAACTGAGGGTACAAGACAAGGTGAATGATCGTTCATTCTTTTTCATAACACAGGGAATGGAGGGCAGCACATACAATGGCCAGGCAGAAATTGTAAAACAGAGGAAAAGATGAACATTTCTCACACAGCACATAACTAATCCATGGCACTTATCACAATACACTAAGGAGGCCAGAAATAAATACTATTTCAAAAAGAGATTAGAGAAACTAATGGGGAAAAGCCCGCTAGAGGTCCCCACATGATGCTGGGGAAGTAACCTGCAGCTCAGGAAGCCCCTGACCAGAAGAATGCTGGAGGGTACAACCACAAAACTATTGCTCTGCAAATCCTCCATTCCTCTTAAACCAAGCATATGCAGCTGGCTGTCACTGGAGACAGGATCCCAGGTGAGAGGGTCCTTTGGTCTGGCCCACTGTGGCCATTTCAGGTTCCCATGACAATGCCAAAACATTGCCACCTCAGTGTCAGGCGGACAGCCAACCTGGATAAATCAAGATCAGATGTACCAGATTTGTCTGCATTCCCTTCAGCCCCATATCTCCTTCTAGTCATCTAGCTAATCCTCTGTGGACCAAGTACCACTCTATGAGTTGGACTGATGTGGGATGACTGATGGGGACTGTGGTTCTGACTCTGCTGCTCTGCACTCCCCCTAAAGTCATTAATTATGCCATCTGACATGAGCACTGCTCTCGAGCCGATATTTGTGATGTAAGTGATGAATTTCCTCCCCTCCTGATAGCTCATTAGGACATGTTTTATTATGGGGAAATTTGCTGAGAAATTAATTATTCAGGCAAAAACATTGTTGCCAGCAACTTTATTTATTTATATATTTATTTTACCTTGGATATATCATTTTTGTGGTCCAAGAAAAATAATAGCTACATGTTTAGAAGGTGGCTACCATCTTGATACCAGTAACGTGCTGTTTACTTCTGGAGAGGAGGCACACAGTCACAGCAATATCTCTGCAGAAGATGCCCAGGGAGCAATATGTCTATATTCAAGGCAGAAAAAATAATAATAATAATAATAATAAAAAAAAAAAAAAAAAAAAAAAAAAAACAGTCCAAATTGCTGCTTTTGTGACAGCCCTTCAGTCACCCAAAGGCAACTTCTCCCTGATTTACTTGAGCTCAAATGGCTGCCTCAGCCCCTTTTACCAAATAGTTTAACAAATGCAGCTTGCCCATTAAATGCAGCAAACCACCCACAGGCTCTGGAGTCTGTTTTGTTCAGACTCTCTGGTCAGTTTTATTATTATATTAATCCATTATTATCATTCCACAAGCCTTGACCTACAGCATTTGTCCTCAGAGACTAATAGAAATGTTTGAGGCATCCTGCATATCCTCTTATGGTAGTCACTGTAAATGCCACTTTTTGGAAGAGGTTTCTCATGGTAATCACTGTCTTCAAGAAGGTGACTGCCACTAGTTCAGAGGGATTATAGACAAAGCACCCAACTGTCAGCCACCTGTCACATCTGCATTTCTTCACAGCTACTGCAGCATCATGAATCTCTCAGGGCATCTCATCTGGGAATGTTTTGACATTGTGCTTTTTTTTTGTGCAAACATTATTTTTTTTTAAGTGCCTCTATTCTGCTTGGAAAGCTGTCTTGTCTGCAAGGAGGTTATGGGCAGAGAGGGTGCCATGTTGACAGGCATTAATGAAGCAGTTATCAAGAAGCAACTGAATGCCATTAATGTGTCCACACACAAAAGCCTTGGTATTTTGATACCCAAAGGAAAACAAACATATCCAACCCTGTTCATGTTCCGATTAAATATGTTAGAATGTGGCTAAAATATACAGTGAGAGGAAAGGAAAGGAAAGGAAAGGAAAGGAAAGGAAAGGAAAGGAAAGGAAAGGAAAGGAAAGGAAAGGAAAGGAAAGGAAAGGAAAGGAAAGGAAAGGAAAGGAAAGGAAAGGAAAGGAAAGGAAAGGAAAGGAAAGGAAAGGAAAGGAAAGGAAAGGAAAGGAAAGGAAAGGAAAGGAAAGGAAAGGAAAGGAAAGGAAAGGAAAGGAAAGGAAAGGAAAGGAAAGGAAAGGAAAGGAAAAGGTATTCTTGAGTTTTTTTCAGCATCATTAACCCTAAGCTCTGAACTACTGCATGCCAGACCTCACAGAGCACCTCTGGGGGCTGTAGCAACTAACAGGAGCACAATCCCTAAACAGTATTTTCTTTGGTTACCTGCCTCTCCTGTCCTTGGTGAGAGGACAAGAGTACTGACAAGGAAAGTAGGACAAGCTCTAGCAAGGCTCTGGTCCCAGGTTCTGCACAGATGCAGAGAGGACCAAAAAAAACAAACCAAACCAAACCAAACCAAAACAAACAAACAAACAAACAAAACAAGCTTCAAGAGCAAACGTACATTTTCTTCTGTCACCAAAAACATGTTAGGAAAACACGGGAAACTTTTTAAAAGAACAGGAGGAATGAAAGGGAGGAAAAACTACAAGAGAGACCAGCAAAATAAGAACTCATGAAGTCCAAGCAATCAAAACCCAGCCAGAAGATGAATGTAACTCTGCCCCACTTTAGATTAAATGGAGTCATTACATATTATATCAATATCTGACATCTGCAGCTTAACCTGTGACTGCTGAAGACTGCAATATCATCAGATCCAGGGGTCAAGCAGTCACTGAGGTCTTGTGCATCTGAGCAGTGCTGGGTCTGCTCTGAACTCTGCACCTCTGGG